GGTTAGCTTCAATTTTGGTTGCTACAAAAAAAATTAAATCACTTCATGTGTTTCTGGGAGATCTTTTTCCGCCTTTTGCCATGTCTTTTGGTCTGTCCAAAGTTTATTCCCAAGCAACTTTGAACAAAGAATGTCGTAAATACAATGCTTGTAATCCTGGTAATTCGGTATCTCGTGTTATCTGTTGTGATGAAAATTTAGAATATAAAAATTATAAACCATTTGCATGGGAAAATGATGGAGTTTTACCTGAAATTTTGACACTTTTTCTGGATTCAGTTTTATACATCTTCGTTTTAATCTTATTAGATACTAATTTATATCGTTTTCGCTATTGGTATGATTCAATACGGAAAACTTTATCATCTTCACCTCAATCCCAAGGTGAAGTTGAAGATGATGATGTTGCTTCTGAAAAATATCGCGTTGCCCAGTTAATAACATCAGGCAGAGTCAACAATGAAGCTCTGACTGTCAGTGAATTGAGTAAAGACTTTGGTTCATTCAGAGCAGTCGATAATATTAGTTTTGCTGTTCACAAAGCGGAATGTTTTGGATTACTTGGTGTCAATGGAGCTGGTAAAACGACAACATTCCGAATGTTAACTGGTGATTTGATGGTTACTCAAGGCGATGCTTTTGTTGAATCATATTCATTGAGGAAAGATTTATTGAATTTCCAACAGTCTATAAGTTACTGTCCACAATTTGATGCTTTGCTTGACAAACTGACACCTCTAGAAACTTTAACATTATTTGCTCGAATCAGAGGTAAGTTTCACAATTTAATCATGCATTTATTATTACCATATTTCATTTATTTATTTAATTTCGATTTAATTACAGGAATGCCTGAAAATAAAGTCAAAGAAAATGTCAACTATATAATAACATCAACTGATTTAACACAATTCACAAAAACCTGTAACGAAAATTTAAGTGGTGGTAATAAGAGGAAATTATCATTAGCAATTGCTGCTATAGCTAAACCTAAGGTTATATTTCTGGATGAACCTACTACTGGTGTTGATCCGGCATCAAGACGTAAGATTTGGTCCACTTTAATGCATCTTCGGGATACAAGTGGCTCATCAATAGTATTAACTAGTCACTCTATGGATGAATGTGAAGCTTTATGCTCTAGGATTGGTATAATGGCAAGAGGAAACTTTAAATGCTTAGGTAAATATAAAATTTTCACCAATGGACATCTTTCTTAATCATCATTCACTTGTTAATCAACCAATTTTATTTTAATATTTAGGTTCAGCTCAACATTTGAAACAAAAATTCGGTCAAGGATACACTTTGGTTATCAAAATTAATCAAGAAGCCTTGAAAAAAGATGGCGAAGTTGAGAGAATCCAAATATTTATCCAAGAAAAGTTTCCAAGTGCAATATTACGTGATTTTCATCAAACTATTCTTCATTACCATGTTAAGAATGCTTCAGCTCGATGGGGTGAAATGCTACGAGTATTGGAACAAGGAAGAAGTTCACTAATGATTGAAGATTTCACTTTAACTGGAACAACATTAGAACAAATTTTCCTTTCATTTGCCAAAGAAAGTTGATCTTACAAATGTTATTATATTTTGTAACTTATTATCAGCATAAAAAAGTCCTTATTTTGTGTTATAAATTCAATCGATAAAGTTCTATCTTAATGCATCTCATTGAACATCATTCGAACAAATCCTTTCTTCATTTGTAAATAGTGATTTTCATTTATTTTGATCATTGTAGACAGTTTTTGAATCTATTATTCATTTTATTTCAATAAGATTTATTTTCATCAACTCTGTTGTCTTGCTCGTAAGAAGTTTGAGTTTCCTCACTCCAATCTCCTCGCTAAGAAATTCAATATTTTTATTCAAATGGCTTAAGAAGCTAGTTAACTTGTTGTGTAAGTTAAATCTAATGTCAAAAGGCTCAAATTTTTACATTTTTCAGACTAATTTTTTGTTTATCTTTTACGAATCTTAATTTTCAATAGACAACAATCCAGCAGAAACACTTAATTAATAAATAATACAATACTTCACTAAATCACGATTAACTATGAGAAATTGAAAGGATTAGTTGGAAAAAATGACACTAGATGGAAGCTGAGCTAATAAAATGATTTGCAGTTAAAATGCAACAATTAAGAAATGAAAATGAAAATACAAATTTTAAATTCAAATGCATAATTGAATTTCTAAAATGAACACTTTGTTCAGTATGTTTGGTCCATTAGTCCAATTATTTACTCAATGTAAAGAGCTGTTTAAAAATGAGCTCCATAACAAGAAATGTTTTTAACATGAAATTTTTGTCTTGAAAGTTATCATTGATCAATCTATCATGCTTTATTTCATTTGGAAACAGATACAAACCCTGACCATAACCTCTAAAAAGATATATTTCAACGAGCTAACAACCATATTGAAGCATGGCATATTGCAGAGTCTGTTGCTTTTCTCAGATAATATGTTTAATACATTGATTGTCAGAAAAGGTTTCATGTTGATTATGCATGTATCAACACTTGGATATCTATGCAAAAGTTCAATCGTTTAGTTTCCATTCAAAGATGAACATTGTTATCCTTAATCATAGGAATTAATGATAAAAGTGTCGAAAATTATTCACTTGTTTTATATAAAAGGAATTGAATGATACACAGCATAGTTTTCGTGAATCTTGATTGGAATTTTTTGGTTAAAATCGATCTCACATGTTAAGCTGACATCGCTCAACTTTCATGGGTCTTGTATATCAGTAAGAATGAGACTTGAACTATTAGAGATTCCATATTATTCTTCTTTCTTTTCTGGTAAATATGATCCAAATTGAATGCCGATTCAGGGTTAATTTAACATGTAATCTATAACAATAATAGAGCAATTAATTATGAACCTCGGAAAAACAATGCGACCAAAAGATGAGATTAATCTAACGATGTTTTGAAGGAAGAAACAATGAATAATCGCGAAAAGGTTAACAATTGAATTAGCTGAAACTGCGATGAAACCTTAATCTATTATCGTGTTTTTTGTATAAAATATAAAAATATTGTAAAAAATGATTTCTTTCATTCCAATGAATTGTCTTGCCTTAATTACAATTGATGAGAAACAGATGATAAGGTAAAACGATTAGACTAACAGTGAAGGTGAAATAACCTAAACTTATAAATCTTAATCTAAACTAAATCAAAGGTTTTTGCATGAAAAAAGGTGTTGAGTAAAGGTTTCTTTTGGTCCATAAAAAGATCTCAAATCAATGTTAAACAAAAAGCTCTTTTTGTTTGACTTTAATCAACTTGCACAATTAAAAAGCAACAACAACAACGATGATGATCATTATTGAAATGAACAATTTTCCGTTATCAATACACCTTGGCATAAATTGACTCATTATTATCCAGTTAATGATAACCTCCAATGAATACAAGTTTACCTTAAAGATGTTACACTTGTAAGCAACACTTGCAATAGTCTTCATCATTAAATTTTCATTAAAAGTCAACAACGATCAGACTTTGAGATTAAGATTGCCAGTTGAATGGCAAATCTCGGCGCAAACCTTTTCTTGTTTAACCAGAAAAATCAATTCAACTTTTACATGAAATAAAAATGATTGTCTTAATCAACTCATTTAGTTAACAGAATAATGATGAAAACAAAAAGTCAACCTGTAAAATCAATTACAAGCTGTTTAACCATTCATGATGAGCAATTGATTAGCCATGATATCATGATTATCATCGATTATTCCGAAATAAAAAGAAGAAGAAAACTGAATCCTTCTGACAATGAATAAGATTACGTTGATAATGATTGATTAATGAGTGAATTGTCAATGGATTAATAGTGTTTACTTTTTATTACAATCAAAAGATATCAGTCATTAAGAAACTGGTCAACAGTTGTTAAGTCAATCTTATAATTCAATTTGTTTGGGTCACAAGGAAAGATGGTCAAGGCATTGATTAAGCGCAAGCAAACCTGTAAAAATATCAAAGTCACGGAATGGACAATGAAAGGTTGAAATGAAATTGTCTTCTTCATTATTCCAAGGATAATCATTGATCATGATTATCCAGTAAAATTGAAATAATGTATAACAATTGTGTGTCTTACTCGGTTATCTGATTATATCAATCATAATACCATTAATCATAATAGCTTTTTTGGCCTTAAAATATTTCTCTTCATTGGACTTTTTTATTTCTCGCTCAACGTTAATTGTTATCATGATTGGAGGTGCAAATAAATGAGGAAAATTGAACCTTATTGTTAATCAACTTTCAATTTGCATATTTAAAAGTTAATTTGAATCATTTCATTTGATTTGTTGCCATTTTCCTCATCATTATTTATCAACATTTGCGATTCTCATCAAACATTTGTAATCAATTGTTAAGGTTAACCATTGACAATCATTTGTTTAATGGTCAAAACAAAAACACTTTATCCGTACAAATGATTGTAATTAAAATTGTTTAATAAAATTGACCTTCAATTGGTTAACTAATAAATGTTTACCTTTGATTAGTTGATGTATTTGTGAATATTAATAACAAAACAACAACGAAAAGCTAAATAATTGCTTTTATTATTCACTTGATGAGATTTAAATTTCAATAATCGCAACATTTTCAATGATATTATCTTTACAATTTGATCATTGAAAGTGCACTTTCAATTAAATGTTAATGTAATTAGTGAATAAGAGGTTTTTATATTATCTTCATTTAAATGGTTCTGCATATTTTGGTTAATTAAATGTTCATTGGGAATCAGTTTTATTTCATTATTTTAAAAGTCTCTTGTTTGTTGTTTGTTGCTTTATGGTCATTACCTGCGATTTACATTGTTCATTTTAATTTTCAATCATTGGCGATGATTTCACTTTCTAAATTTACTCTGAATGATTTAAGATGAAATTATGATCAATTGATTTTCTCTTTCCGTTGACTTTTATTCAAGGTGATTAAGATAATGATGATTAATTTGATGAGAGAAATGCTTGCAAGGGTTTGCGTTTAATGTTAAAACAGCTTGGATCATCATGATTGATCATGGTTATAATTTACAATCTTGACATCGCAATTGTAATTAAATCTTTCATGTATTTGTAGGTAAAGGTTGAATAGTTGCTCAATTGAAACATAATTGAAACTCAATTTATTGGCATTTTCTGTGTCTTGAAATATTACCAAAATTTAGATACAAAAATGGGTTCATTTTGGGTTAGAGTTGCTTATTGGGTTTATCAGTCGCAGCATCGATCACTTGTTTTGTTGCTTCAATTTACCAACATAACCAGGATTCAACTTGATTTTCATCTCTGCCATCTTGATAAACTTGGGTTAATTGTGAGAAATTTTTGCCTTGTTCTGGTAAGTGATGTTAATTGTAACATTAATAAGTTGATTGTTGCTGTTGCACCAAGTGATATACAGTCAATGGGTAAACAACTTCGGCTTGGGTCCAATCCATGACTTATTTAACCTTCAATCTTGAAATTTGTTTTAAACCAAATTTCATTAATTTCAACTTTTGTCTTCAATCATAAGTATATTTACCTGGCAATATTATTATTGTTGTTGGCAGCATAATTCACACAAATCAAGGTTCCGATTCCATGTCCTTGGGGTAAACAACAACTAAACTGTTATTATAGATGATACATTAGGAGATCAACGTTTTTGATTGACAATCATAATCTTATTTAAACAAATTAAATCAGACAAGATATACAATTTACTTTATTATAATCAACACTTGACTATAATTGAACATGAATTACAATTTAAATAAATTATAAATTTCTTTACACTTAAGAATAATAATTGTTATTACAATCTTGTGATTGACAGATTCACAGTTGATCAAATTTTCACATTAAAATGCGTAAGAATAGCAAAAATTGATATTCCCTTAAAATAGACAATTGGTTTCACTATTTTCACTCATCTTCAGCTGTTATTAAACAATAATATAGTGATTGATAGCTTCATTCATTCATTAGATATAGATTTTTGTAAATTATTTTTTCACACTCAACTGATTTTAATCAATATACAGATTTACTCGGGAATTAAGTTAATTACCATTCTTTTTGTATTGTGCCTTTACTTTGCTTCATCTCCCGTAATTGTTTATCCTTGTTCAACTTGTTGCTACCTTTTTCACGGTCATTTTATAACTGCTTATCAACAAATTATTGCCAATTAATCAGCTGTCACTTTCATCAATTATATAACTCAACTATTGGATCTAATCTGAAGGACTAACCATTATTAAACAAATAATTAACGCCATTCGGATTTTAAAAAATGACCCACCAGAAGGCCAGGGATGAAAATATTGAACAAGCTGCAAAAAAGTCATTCAATTATTCGGTTTCTTCTTTGAATATCTGTCATTTTATCATTTAATTCTCAGATTAATTCACATTATCTGTCTTAAAAGGTAAAAAATTTCTCAACTGACCACCTTTAATATCTTATAAGAGATTGAACCAGTTTGAAATTTACCTCCACAGATGCAATCATAATGGTTGACCCGTAAAATTTGTGTCGAGATTTGTTTGGATTCATCAGCACTCTAATGAAAATCAATTAGTTTTGTCTCTACTAATTAGATGAAGCTGTTTAATGGGTTGACGAGTGCATTGTCATGTAAGTAAACATTTTGACAAAATTGAAAATGATTTGTCCAGTCTAATTGTGATTATTTTATTAGGAAAGGTGAACAGTTCCAGTTGTATTGTTTTGCGTTAATTTGTTCATTTACCTGGTCATCATTTGAAGACAATTAAACAAGGAGCTTAAACAATGAAGTGTCAACAAATCAAAGGTCATCATCATCTTGTAAACTGACTGACAGCCACTTAATCATAAAACTATGGTTAATCAGTAGCTTTTGATTACTCATTAGGACTGAAAGAGTAAAAAAGGCCGAAAGGAGAGCGCAATAATCTGAAACAATTAGTGATTAAGTACTACAAGAGTGAAGCCAAGGAAACGGAAGTTTGGGAAGATTAAAGACAAGATAAGGTCACTGATGAGGATAATATATATTTAATAATGAGGATGATGACACTTGAAATGGTGAACAAATGGCTGAAGACGAGGATGAAACTAAAGAAAAAGCTAAACAATAAAGACTGACCAATTACTTAATTATATCTACTTATATGAGGTCTTTAGGTTTCTCCTCAAAGGTTACCTTAATTTCCAACAATACAAGACAAAGTGAACCTTTTGTGTATTGAACAGCTTTTCACTTTAATCAACTTGTCATAATAAGCAATCAAATATCAAGCAAGCATGGTTAAACAACAATTTGTATTAAACAAACGTAAAAAACGATTAGCCAAAATGTTTGACAATTCAACTCTCCAAATCTTAACCTAACCTGTTCCCTTTCAACCTGTTGATCAATCCTTATTTTTCATGTGCACTTCTTGATCGTCTTACAAATCATAATGCAAGTCAATTTAATCCATAAAGTAAATTGATTCTATATTATCCAATATCAATTGGTTAATACAACAATTGAACCGTTTATTTAAAAGATTAAATTCGCAAACATCAATTGACTCGGGAAAAGGAAAAATGATGAGACAATCACAATTTGATTGATGTAACATGTAACAGATAACCAATTGAGAATTCAATTGAAAATACAATTGATAATTACATTTGAATATCAAATTAACATCATTTATTAACCTTAATTACATTCCCATAGAGACTAATAGACCGTATAATTTAAATAGTGACAGGAATAAGTCAAGAGCAATCTTCAAGTTGTCTTGCATTTCATGAGAAATCATTTAAATCATGTTACCGATTTCACCGAAATGTTTTTTACTCCAAACAATATTTTCTCAACAATTGAAACATTTTTCAAGTAAATATTGCAAAACTTTTAATTGCATCAATTGTTGTCCATTTTGTTAGTCCAGTTACAGAGTTGAGCCAAGTCGATTAAATTGTGTTGACTCCAAAATTGGATTGTGGCAAGGTTAATTGGTTGATGATTGTGTGATTGTCTAATTGGGTTGATAGTCAAAGGGATAAAATTGAGATTGAAAAGCTTGGACGGTTACAACTGATTGCTGGTTTAATGTCCATCTCTTTTTTTTCATTATGATAATATGTTATTGTCATTTCTTAATGTAATTCCGGGTTATTGAGTAAATATTGAAGTTTTTTTTGTGAAGGTAAACAATTGTCTCCATTCAAGATCATTCTTGTCATTAAACTCATCCTAACAACTGTATTAACATAATCAATTTAACAATTTCTTACATGAAACCCTTTATAATAGTCTCGACATTAAAATAAAGTTGATTGTAAAGGATATTACATGTTAGAATGAAATATCGCCACAAGATTTCAAATGAATCAACATTTTCAATTTTGTCAAATAAATGATGAATGATAAATGGTAAGATTGAATGGTTTATCAACATCTTACCAAGTGTAATTAGAAAGTCAATTTGTGAAATAGACAGTAATATTTGAAATCAAAATGATGAGTAAACGATTGACAATTTGATATTAAACTTTAAATCAGCAACACCTACAAATGCTAACCTAAAACACCTTAAAAAGCTGGGTTCAATTTAAGAATGAACTGAAAACAGTGAAAATTTGATATTCATTTCAATATCAATGTATTTGAGTTACATTAAATGAATAAGGTTAATTGTGGTGTCAAATTTACAAGAATTAGTATCAATTAAAAGAGCAGTTAAATACAAATGAAAAGAACGATGTTAATATTGTTTTGAAAATAATCGTAAAAAAAACTCATAAACATTGACCCATTTTGTTGTGTTTATTTTTATGTACTAATTTTTTGTTTGTTGATTGTTTATAATTGTCTGAATGGTGATCAGCAAAATGATGCATATTATACGTTAATTTTAATTGTTCAACTTGTAACAAGACTGCATAATTTGAAGTACAGAGCTTCATTATGTTTTACACTAGTATGTATAATATTTAGTTTATTTGATTTGATGATCAACCCTGAATTGTTGATTAAGTATATTGATGAATCCTTTTCTTTGCTTCTCCTTTGATTGCTTGTTTGTTTACTTGATTATAACAACATGAAGTAGACGATGAAACATGATGTACCGTGTTGATTATATCGTTGACTTTAACATTATTCAAGTACAGTATGTGTAACACTAACCATCAATGTGAACAGCTTGAACCTTGCTTGTCTGTTTTTTGTAAGACCAGCAAGTTGGTGTGAATTAATGTTGTTTCAGCTTTAAATATTAGACAAAAAACACTCACAAAAACACAATAATAATCTTCAAGTTTACCTGGTCCTACCCAAATCCATCTAACCAGGTAAATATTGCACGTGAAACTGTTTCAAGGAAAAGATGTTAATTTTTGATCTTATTATTCTTTCTCATCTCACTTTTACAAAAAAGAAAAAGGATGAAATTCATTTTCACTCAATTTTGCCTCATTACCTCTATTCATTAATTACCTTTCTATTAATTATTATGATTGTTATCTAAATCATCCACTCTTATTATTATATTAATATTATAATATCATCCCTGTATCTTTACTTTACTCCTTTCCTTTCGATCTTTCCTTTGATTTCTCCAATTGGCCATCGAAATCTTGCTAAGTTTGACCTCCTTTCAAATTCTTGATCAGCTAAAGATTCAACGGGACGGTCATGTATCTTCAATTCAGTATTTCAATTTCCATTTTTTTCTTCTTTATTGTCATCTGTTATTTACGGTCTTGATATCCAATGACTGTATCAAATCGATAGGAATAATCTGCTTGGGAATTTCATCGCTTTTTAGTGACTTTTAGTTAGTCACCTTCATTTCACTTTTGATTTTTTTGTCCATTGCATTAACTATCTTTACTTGAGCTTTCTTGTTTGATCCATTGCTACAATTAGATGATTAATCCAAGTTGCTTTCAATCCTTTGCTGTTGTCTTTACTTTTCCTTGACTTTTTGTTTTTCGTTTTGTTCATTTTTCTTCATGAAATTCAAAGCATCACGGAACTTGATTCCAGTTTTTATAATTATCATCAACATCATAATCATCCATAAGTATGGTTAAAGCTTATTACTTTTCAGTTGAATTTGTTTTGGGCAAATTACCATCAAGGAACCGACAGAATGGTTATTTTATGGTCAAATTGTTAATTATATTAAATGTTCATCTTTTGTTTGCCAGTTCGTTCATCAGTTTACGATCAGAACGTATTTTCCAGGTTGAATCATTTTCTTTACTCCTTCGATTGGTGAGCCGATGTTGTTCAATTAGACAAGCAACATTTGTTTCTTTATAAAGTTGTTTCACTTTAAACTGAAAAATGGACAAGAAACACATAAAAGAAACAAATTAATACAATGAATAGGAAATTTTAAAACTATTATGAATCATCAATTTATGGAAAGAGGTTATTTTGTCAATAACCAGAAAAATTGTAAAATTGAAATAGAGAGAATAATATTGACTGAAAGGTTAATTAGATTTGAAAAAGAAAATAATAATCATTTTAGACTTAAACGACTGAGAAATGTATATAAACATGTTCATCATGTATTTTAAATGGTCTGCCGTTGATAGAAATGTACTTTAATCAAATTTCTTGGTTGATTTACTTTGCTTTAGCATAAATTGAAGTCTTCAATGCATAAAGCCTCAGATTATCCCTGTTTATGCAGCAATAACTCATTACTAATAAGTTAACGAAGATGGGTAAAAGTTAGATTAATCCTGAGATTCTAGAATTGATCAAGCAATTACCTCAATATGAGTCTATTTAAGCAACTCGAAGGAAACCAATGATAAAGGTTTGATTAGTTATTGTATCAAGGTTTAAAAGAGTCCTAATTGTATCAATCTTGAGTAATTTCAGGAAATTGCAACACTGAACAAATTATACATATTTGATTTCTTACAATTGCTTCCATTTCCATCAATATGTATCATAATCAACGTTTGATTGATGAATTGGATTTGATGAGCCAGTAACAATTGCTTGGGAACAAATGATGATCAATGAAAGTCTCCATTTTATGACTATTTAAGCATCAAAACTTTGAATCACTTTGCCATCATCTTGGGTTGAATAGTCAGTTTTTAGACATGATTAAAGTGAAGGGAAAGAAAAGGATAAATTAATATTGATGAACAATAGTGGAAAGTTGAATTATTTACTTATTTGGTGGCAAAAAGTGATTGCTTCAAGACTAAAAAAAGGTTGATTCATCTTACCTGGAAACAATTGATGATTAAATTGTTTGAATATGGATTTAATCAACCAGAAAGGTGTTTATTAAAATAAAATTTTCTTTCAACATAAACACAACTGTAAACAGCGTACTTCCTCATTTCGTGATGTTAAATATTTCATATCGACATTCAAAGTTGGTCCGATTGCCATGGTAACTCAAGTTATCAGTTTTATCCCTCATCATAGATCATGTTAAATTTGCTGAATTTTGATGCTCGTCATCTGTTAAATAGAAAGAATAAGAAAAGAAATTAAATTGAATTGAATGAAGTAAAAGAAAGAAGATGAGAAAGGAACACTCAAATGTATTAAACAATTACTGAAACTCGGAAGTTGTTGGTAAATTTAAAATATTCAACTATTATAATTAAGTAATCATGTACAACAATTTAAACCATTTAAACTGATTAATTTAGACAAAGTATTTTCAATCCATTCTGTTCGGAAGGAACCTGATAAATTCCTCGCCAATCGGTTAAAGATTGTATCAATTGATGATTATATTTTTAGATCATTATTCATCAATTCACTCTAATGATTGTCTATTCCTTTTTTGTGGTCAAAATTTCAATTGAAAAAGACGATAATTAGAAGAGAGAGAAATATAAATTTGTCTATCAAGAGAGTAACTCACTTATTGACTTTGATTAAGCGAAACAAAACGTTTTGATATTAAACAACTTACATGGTTGAACCATTTTTATCGAGACTAGATTTATACTGATTGTCAGAATGACAATTATTTTTTTGGTCTTCAGGATAATCTGTTGGAATCCACTTTCATTTATCCAGACTGAATATCAGCAATCAACAGGTCATCAAAATTCAACTCTTCTTCATCATCTTATCAAATTGAAAACGTGATTTTTGATTAAACACTGAATAATACGATGATTTCCAACAATTATGAAGATGATTCCGGATATTATGCTCAATACCCATCATCATCACCATCAACAATTAAAACTAAAGAGAAAGAGTGAAATTAAAACGTTAAGGATCAAGTAGAAGAAAAAAAATAGAAGGAAAATTGTGAGATAAAGATATTAGTTAATCAGGTTACCAAGGCGTTAAATTGTAACAAGCAAATTAACTAAACTATCATGAGTTGACCTGAGAGTTTATTACAATTTGTTTTGGGCTGAGGATAGGTTAGGTGAAAAAAAAGTGCGATAAGGTCGAGAAAAATGAAAACAAATTGAGATGGTGATTAAGAATCAAAGCAACAGTTGAGACAATTTCACCCATTTTTCTGGCTCATCACAAAACAATTGTTAACAAACGTGAGTTTGAACAAAAAGAAAGGAAAATTGTATCGCCCTTTACATTATTTACCTTGTGTTTACACGCAAACAACAATAATACAGGTATCAATCAGTGATGATCATGATTCTAATCACCATAATCATCATCCTCTAACAATAACAATCTAATCATTACTACATTAATAAAAAAATGCCTAAATGTTGAGTGTCATAATGTACGTGTAAAAATGATAACCTTTCTTGATTTTAAGCGAGTTTATCATTGATGACCCTTGTTATTACAAGATCCAGAAAGTACCAATTCCAACATAATTCATTATCCAACGATGATTCACATAGAGGTGAAATCCTTGGGAAAACCGTTGGTAGTCGTTTTAAAGCTCAGGTAGGATGTTGCCCATTGTCAGTCATTATGCTTAATCTTTGTCAATGTTTTGTTTTCTTGGCTAAAGGCGGAAATAAAAAAGGCTAAATTTTAGTTCATTAAAATAATTTTTTTACCGAGGTTGACTACATAGAAAGGTCAATAAGAAACATTTTAATTGCCTGTTTCACGGCCAACACCTACTCATTAAAATAGATTACAGTTATAACGTCATCAGGCTCATCTTGTTTAACTTTCATGTTGATTTAAAAAATGTAATCCATTCCAGTGGTGACTGAAGGAAGAAATAACAACCACACAAACAGGTAAACAAACACACTCACACACAATAACTTTCAAGTTGAATTCACGATTGTAATGAATGATAATGGTAATGATGGCCCATATGTTGATGGTTGATAATGACAGTCAATGACAGGTATGTAAGAAAAAAAAACAAAAATGAAGAGAGACAAAAAGACGTAAATCATTTCAATATTCAACAAGTTAATTGAAAGTGATGTGAAAAAGTCAAGTGTAGTTACCAGATAATAACAGCAAAATGTAGTTAAGCAAAGACAAATTACTTAACTAAACATGTCATCAAGTTGATGTCAGAGTGAATCAGTTTCCAATTGAGAGTTGATGATGATTAATTAATGCAAGAATACTGCTGAATCAATATCATTACTTCACCAATTACACCTCCAAGTTAATTAAAGAAATAATCTGAGGAAAAATGAAAAAATATTAGAATGGAAAAATGTGCTTTTCAAAAAATGAAACAATATTTACAGTCAGTAGAACATGGATTATTGAGGAAAGATTCATCTACGTACCAATCTTAGCTCAAAACCAATTAAAGATTAGTTCGAGAATTGGTCTGAGAGATAAACCTGTTTACAATAAGCCCAGTTTAACCTTGTATGAAATCGGTTCATTTTCATCTAGAATGATTGTAAAACACAAGAATACATTAGTTTTCATGATACAGCCTTTTACTTTTGAATTGATCCCTTTTGGCAAATGAAAAAGTGTTAATCTTAGCCCAGATTTAACTTCTAGTTCAAGCTTTTTAATCCAATGGTTTTCAAAACATTGCTTTGAGTAAAACTGTTTAAACTATCTCAAATATTGTTTTAGAGACAGACTTTTTCAATAGTGAAACAAATTTTTTGTTTTGAAAACCAATGGATTAAAAAGCTTAAAGGCGATGTAAAGACTGTAAAATTATGTTGACGCTAATCAGGTATCTTCATGTTTCTCTTTGGTTTTACACTGTATGCTTTACCAATTTCGAATAAGCAAAAGTAATTTCTTTTTCAATGTATTTCTTTTAGCTTTGCACTGACCACAAATGGATGATTAATCGCTTGAAATTCTGTTGAACAATGTTGAAGTAATTAAAATTCTGTAGATACAAAAAAAAATATTAATTAAGCATAAAATTAAATTCTTTTCAATAGTATTTTTTGAGTCATTCAACTTTTGATAAACTTGGTTGATATTAAAATGTAAAAGTTAGTAACAATGAAATTAAAATTTGTCCGTTTGTTTTGGTACTGATGCATTAGTTATTGTCAAACGAGTACAACTGCCCATCACAGTACGAATAAATTTTCAGCAATTTAAAGTCCAAGAATAACAAACATCGACCGTCAAGGATTAATTCTAATACAATAGTTAGTACAATGAATCAAACATTGAATTAACTGAGTAGATTTGATAGATAATAAAATTATACCATCGAACTGATTAGTTGAGTAAAATTACATTAAAATGGGAAATTTTTGCCTAGATTATAATGCTGTAATGGTTTGTTTCGTCAATGGATAGTTTATATGTAAGTGAAGATAATTTTCACTGGTTACTAGTGGCTGTAAGTGCAAAATTTGATAGCAAGATAGATTTAGAGACAGGTGAAAAGGGAAATTCCAGTCCCAGAATACTTTAGAGCTAAAGATAATAGAAAGTAATAAGAAGTTTATGATTACTTGGGAAAATCCTAACTCGACTGGACTTAGCCAGACTTGGTGAACTGGACATGAAAAGGCCCGAGTGAAATTAAAAATGGAGAAAAATGACTGCCCAATGGACGAAAATAAAATGTATGATGCAAAGTGGTAAAAACGTTGGAATGGGTTTCTCTTGGCTTTTACTTATTTAGCTGATGATGCTTATGATAATGATGATGCTTTCGAGAATCTTGAGATAAATGTTGGAGAAATAGGAGATCACCTTGAATCGGTTTTGTAAGCATAAAGAAAACACTGCATAATATTATCATGTTAATCAGCAAGAAGAAATAATGAGAAGACAACAGAAAGGGAAAGGAAGCGTGAGAAATGATTATTATGGGAGAGTCAGATCGAGTTGTTGTTCATGATGACTATTATTATTGTGATGATGGTGTTGATGATGATATGTTTTTGTTTTTTTGATATTATAGCTTACGAATTGCTGTTGTATCTTTCACTAAAAATATTTAATTAAGAACACTTACGTTTGAAATTTCTTGGTTGGTCCGACTTTGTCCGATAACTGTAACACAATTTTGGGGTAAAAAACAGAAAACACAAAAAGTTAAAGTAATCTTGTTAATTAAATTTATTTAATAAGAAATCTGTACTTACTTTTAATCAGAAAATTGACAAATTAAAGATCAACGGGTTAACTAATATCTTTTGAATCTTTCTTAATCTAGAATATTCGGCGTTTGACAGTTTCTTTGGTTTTTGATACTTACTATCTTATAAGATTCATCTATTATCAAGTACAAAATAGATACAGATATAGATATTAAATGGAAACACTGTATTCACTTAATGAGTTTATTATGTTAATTAAAGGTAAAAAATTTGAAAAAAAATGTTATGATAGAGTTAAGAGTTTTCTTAAGCCTTAATCATCAATTTAATTAATTAATGAAAAGGAAAAGTGAAAGTAAAATGATAATAGAAATGAAAAAGACCTTCAAATTTGTAATGTCTTTTTTTAATCCTGATAATTATCTGGACTCTTTTTGTTTTCAGTACAACAATAGCGTCCATTTTTAAGCGGGAAACCGTTAACTCTACAAAAGTCTTATTTGTTTAATTTAACCAAATAATATTCTCAAGCGATTGTTTCTACTTTAGATCAAATTGATTTGAATTTTTATTTCTAGAATCCATTCTAAAGGTTTTTTATTCAAGTTTATTAAGGATCAATTGCCCCTGGAAAACAATTGTGATGGAAAGATGACCTTTATTTAGTTATATTTTTAACTTACTAGCCATCAATATCATCTCCAATGTTTACTTGAGTGAATCACGAGCTGTCAGGAAATAACTGTTGAAAAGTAAGGCCATTTTTTTACCTTTAGTTTAATTTTTAATTTTTTGATTATCTTTTAGGAATCTTGCCGATATTTCAAGTTATCAATGAAATCAAGCATTCAGGACCCGTCATCATTATCATCATCATCATGGGTAGAGCACACTGTATCATACACCTACATAGAAAGGAAAGAGAGATGGATTTTTAGACAGTAAAGAGAGGAAAAAAGAGAAAGCGCTTTTTTGTGTAAGATGATGATTTTGTCCTCCATTGATTATAATTGTTCATTGTTAAGAATCCAGTTTTCTCATCATCGTCATCATTCAGCCTCTTAGCCTCTTTCATCTTATTCATTCTCTTTCTTTTTATCTTTTATAGAAAATGAAAGCAAAATCGACTCAGTCTAACCTAAGCTCAATTTTCGTGGTTAAATATTTCGAGTTTTTTTGGACGAAATTGCTGCGTGACTGGCAGATGAGAGAAGAAAGAGAAAAGAGGATAAAGAACGCCTCTTCGATGGATAGACTAAAAGAAGATGATAATGGTGATGAGTGTGAGACTTGAAGACAGGCAAAGTAAGAAAGTGGGAATGATGAAAAGGAAAGTAAAGAAAGAGTGAAAGTGAGTGAGAGAGAAAGTCAAGTTATTGTTAATCCCTGGACTCACTCTTGATGAAAAGTTCTTAAGACCTGGAGAATCTTCGTCGAGTTTAAATCAGTTTGCATCTTCTCTTTGGTTCCAACGGGTCATGGATTAGAAAATTACTTTGGAACTGCCAATTTGATTATTTTGTTTTACCATTAAGTTATAACTTTGTGTTTGCCTTCCATTCAATCAACTTTTCATTTTCATCGGTTTTATATCTTAAACTGAACTTTCAAAATGTTTATCAAATCATCTCTTGTATTTTTATTTATTTTAGCTGCTGTTTCAGCTCAATCGGTTAGTCAATTTTAATCTTTTCCTGTGTTTTTTAAATGAAAAAATATCCATTCTAACTTGCTTCTTTTTCTCTTGTTTTGTTTCATTTATTGGTCATCATCAATTTTTAACCCACCAACGAAAATTACTGGTTTAATTCCGTTTTATTATCTTCATAAAGAACTACAACTCTGATCGATTCGAACAACAACAACAACAAGACCGAGGTTACGATGGATCAACCTCAACTGGATCTCAACAACAATATCAAGAAGCTGAAAGGCAACCACAAAACTCCGTTGAAGGTGAAGCCGGTCCTGAACCTCCAGCATTAGTTCCACAGACCAGTTTCACTTGTGACGGTAAGCCATATGACCCAGGAATGTACGCCGATATGGAAGTTGGTTGTACCGTTTATCACATGTGTTTCAATGGAAAAAAAGACTCTTTCCTCTGTGGTACTGGAACCATGTTCAACCAAGAGATTCTTTCCTGTGATCATCCACAAAATGTTGATTGTTCTGCTTCACCATCATTTTACAATGCCAATGAAGAATTAGGTAAGAAAAAAATTTCAATTCATATTATATAATTTTTAACTAGCCGTGAGTAAAAGTTTAGGATTCAGTAAAAAGTTCAATGAATTTTTCCTGCTATTGCTATTTTTTAATCTATCGATTATATGTCATTATAATTATGGAACAAATCTTGTTGATATAATTCAACAATATACTTAATTTGGAAGTGAAAACTAAAGTTTCAAAGGAAACCTAGAAACATACATTATCTGCAACCAATCATGAATAAGTTTCGGAACTTACTACCGCTTTGTTGAAATTTTAGGAATTTAGTTCTGTTTGACAAGTATTCAAATAAATGAAGAGTTAATGAAGACACAATTATTGATTATACATGTATTCTCAACATTAAGGATTTTTCTTTCATCAACTTAATGGAATGAAAAATCCTCTTTAAGATAAAAAATTAATCAATTTTGCGTTACCCAGAATCATATGGAAATAGTTTCAGTAAATCCATATTTTGTTAAAGTTATTTCAATTCATGCAAACCATCATTTATCATTGATCTTCATATTAGTATGGGGTGAAAAGCTTGAGCTAAAAAATTCATGCTCAAGGATTAATTAATAGTGTGATCAGCGAGATAAAATAACGTTACCAGCCTACACTGAAATTTTACAATAAATTATATTAGATATGGCCTATTTTTTCGAAATTTAAATATTTTCCGAACTCTTTTGTCATAATTAATTAACTTGCTTAATATATTTACAGGCAAACCTGGCGCTGAACCTGCCCCTGGCCAAGCCCCCGCTGCCCGTCCAAGACCTCCCCCACCAGCAGCCAGACCCGTTGCTCAACGACCCGTTGTAAGCGGAGGTAAGATATCATCTTGAAAGACCTTTTGTTTTAATATTCGTCCCTAAAATATTTAAACTAAATCTCTTTCTCTTCTACATCTATTTCCAGCCCCACGACCCCTTCCACGACCAGCTCCAGTTCAACGACCAATCCCAGCCCCACGACCACAAGTTCAAGGTCCAACCTATGGCCCAGGAGCAACTGACCAAAGTCCAGATTATGAAGCACCTCAACAACCAGATTTTCCTGAACCAGCTCAACCATCACTCCCTGCCCTCCCAGCCCCAGCACCAGCTCCTCTTCCTAGACCAAGTGGCAAGGTTTCACCTCCACAACCCTCACGACCAGCTTATCGACCACCAGCACCAATATCTCAACCTGCTCCAGCTCCACGTCCCCTCCCTCGACCAGCCCCAGTCTACCGCCAACCCGCCCCTGTCCAATCATACCGACCAGTTCAACCAGCCCCAGCTCCCGTCCAAACATACCGTCCAGCTCCAGCTCCAGCTCCAATTCCCAGCTATCAACCAGCCCCAGCTCCAGCTCCAGCTCCAGTCCGACGACCAAGCAAAACTTCTCCCAGGGTAAGATACCTTTTATTAATTTCATATCAAAAATATTAATTATAATTTTCCCTTTTTTAATTACAGAGACCTGCTGCTCGACCAATCCCACCTCCAGTAGTTCAAACTACTGACGAGGATACTGATTACGAGCCAAGCTCAGTTTATTATTCACAAGAGCTGCCAAAACAACAACAACAAAGATCAAGATATGCAGTAACATCAAGAAGATGGAACCAATATCGATCATAAATAATATAAACAAACAACTGAATCAATAAAATGATTAAATGACATGCCAAGTGTAGCAAACATTTTCAACGCATACAAACAATTTTTTTGCTCGAATTCGCAAATGATTTTCACCACTTACTATCTTCACCCTGCGTTTTTCTTAGTCTCTCAGAGCTATCTCTATCTTTTATACTGTTTTGTACCATTTTATAATGATTTCTAATCAATCTGTAATGTTTATTAAGTGAAACATCCATGATTGATGTTATAACTTTTGTTGGTAATAATTGTATTTAATTATTAATCGACAATGTTATTTTAATAAAGAATCTTACGACTCTGAAAAATATACTTTTTCTTGAAATTATTTTGATCAAATTGTTTGATATTTAATTATTTCACATGTTTAAATCAATTAGCATTGGGAAAGTTGGTTACTTAAGCTTTTTCAACTGCCATTTTTACAATTCTTTCAATTTTTTCCTCATTTTTAAGGATTGCAACTCTTTTAACACTTATACTTTCACGAAGACGAGCAATATCACCATCAAAATGCTCTAATTGTATCCTTAATGGCTCTAGATGAGTATCAATTGAACTTTTCTCCTCTTTAAGTTTAGCCATGTTTCTTGAATGTTCATCAACCCAACTTCTAAGCTCAATTACAATCGCATTAATATCCTCTTGAAGGTAATCTAATATACGACCCAATGGAGTCGCCAATTGAGTTAATCGTTGAATATTTTCACGCAATTTGTTTATATCACGAGATGCCAACCTATTATGTAGCCCAGGTGTGTCAAATGGCGTCTGTTGTTTCGAATCAGCATTTGAACCTTCTAGAGCAACCTTTGTTTCAACCAATTGCTTAACCAGACTACCTTTAGATTTATCCTCTCCATTAACAGTGGAATGAGCTTGTAGCAATGCACTTGACTCGATGGAGCCAGAAATGTCATCTTTAATCTCTTGGACTACAAACATGGCATCTTCATCGTCTTCATCTTCATTACTTGAGTTACCTAAATTACCAAAGTCTTCAGTTGGCTCAACAGCATTACCAAGAACACTTTTCCTTCCAAGAGCAGTGCCTGGTCGGCGTTTTTCAGAGATTAAATTTTCAACAGGCTTAGAAGATTGTATTATATGTGATTGATCAGTTCCAGGGGAATCTTGTAATTCCCGTTTCGATACAACCTTAGGAGGAGCTGCTCTTGCAGTTGTAGGTCTTGCACTTGGCCTAGGAGATGCTCTTGGTGAATAAGCCTTTTGAGTTCCAGTCGGAGGCCTGACTACCAACTGAGGAAGGCCTATCGGGGAAAAAAAGAAAAATTGATTAAAGTTCAAAAATGCTACAGAGTTGACATGGATATCGTTCAAAAGGCAACCAATTGACCCAGGAAAACATTTACAGCAATAAAGTGTAAACTTTGACGGTTACACAATATTTCAATTTCAATCAAGTCTTTAGGTTTATCGTTGAATTGATTGTTGAACTCTCATTTTATACTTTAAAGTCAAGTACAACTGTAATGTATCAATGTTTACAAGCAATATCTGTAATAATTATTACTCTTATAATTGTTTTGGCATAAATTAACTGGATTGTTTCGTTTTCAAGATGATAGTACATTTTATGTTGAAAGTATAATTATTAATAAATAATAAAGCAATTTGATTCCTTTTGAAACAATCAACTGCACTTTCACTTACCTTTTTACCTCATTAAATGAGAAACAAAAAGGAGATGATTCGTGATCATTGAATCAAACAAACAAATTCAAGCTAATCAAAAGCTTACCAGCAACTCATTAAAAACAATTGAAATACACCAGATTATAGTTTAGTATAAGTCATTAATTGCACTTGTACATCTAATGATGATCAGATTAACGAAGGTCTGTCAACATTATCAAGCCAATTGAATGATCAATCATACCTCATTTCACTGGTTAGGCTTTACTCCAGTTAAAATCATCTTTTATCATCACAGTTTAATTAAAATAGATGAAAATTTTTTCGATGTGATGAAGTGAAAAATAATCAAAGTAACAATTTTCAATTGTCTACCACTTTGGTTTGATCAATGATAATCACAATCCTGACCGGAAGCTCAAGTTATTAATCACGTCTTACTAATCAAGCCTTAAGATACAATTAAATGTTCATCAGTATTGTAATTAAAATTCATTTTTCACCTCATCAGAAAGCAAACAATAGATGGACTCATCAATAATATAATCGTTGTTTCTGGTAACCAACACACCAAAAACATATCAACATGCAATAATTTTACTGTTGTTTGTATCAACAGTAAAATCCTTGACTAACCTTTTTGGTTATCATTTTGTATTCCCTCTAAGGCATCATTTTCACCTGGATCATCAGTAGAATCATCATTTTCCTGTTTACTTTCACCAGGATCATCGTTATTATCGTTCATCTTATTGTCATCTTTTATCTTTCCTTGGTTTCTATTAATGTTTTCTGACGCGCTTTTGGTTCTTCCTTTAAGATTACCATTAGGATTATCATTATCACCTCCATTAATATCCTCCATTTCATCTGACTCTTCACTAGGCTTACTTGTTCCTGGTTCATTGTTAATCTCGTTGGGTATAACTGATGATTTCACTGTAGATTGATCATGGATCTTAGAAATTTCTCCACCATTCTTATTGATTGTCGATTGTTCATTTGTAACAGTAGATGACTTCTTTCCTTTTGACCCAGATTGAGAGGTATTTGCCGTTGCTTTGACACCGGTTGGTCGTTGATTGATTGGTGGTTTGTTCACATTTTTGACAGTTGATTTGGGTGTTGAGGGCGATTCCTTTTTACCGCGTCCATAAGCGATGGCTGCTTTGGCCAATGATTGTAAAAATTGATTTGTCTTGTCAGGTTCAAGACCAGCAACAATTTTAGCTGCTTTAACGTCGACAGGTTTTTTCAGTGTTGAGCCTAAATTGTTTACATTTCAATCAAAATTAAAACAATAACATTATTTAATTGGTTTTGTTTTACTAAATTAAAATTTAATGTTGATCAATTCACGAGACAATTGATTTAACCACTCAATCAAATGTTGCTTTAAAATTTTATAATCCAAAGACAAAAGCTTTGTCTTTTAATTTTTCAAGTCACATCATTTTTGCGTGCTAAAAGTCAAAGGTTAATCTTACCAACATTGTCGATTACTTTCTGTAGAAAGTCTATTTTCCCATCTTTATCCTTTTGGATGGACGGATTAAGATCGTCTGAATCAAAGACTTCCTTCATGTAACCCGTTGAATTGATAACCTTAAGAGAAGAGAAATAAATACTAATGTAAACTGAAATGTATTCTTTATCATGAGATGTGAATGAACTGTTGAGATAGAATAAACGAAATAAATGATATCGCTGTTGATGAGCACTTTTGTTTTTGCCAGCGACAGTTTATAGTCTCATCGGATTAGTTTCAAGGTATTTAGAGAATCGACTTACATTGATAATAATATCATGAAGAAACTTGAATGGAGGTCGTTTTAATAGCTTTTCAGTTAGCACAGGTTTTTTAATTATTTTTCCTAGAGTATCTTGAGTGTTTTTAATTATCTTGGGATCAACGTTCACCTGATTTGTGGCCATAATGGTGATTGAAAGATGGTCAAAATTAAACTATTGTTGAATTTTGATGTGATATTTGACAATATTTTGTTTTGCACATTGACTGGTTGCCATGGATTTATTCAGGTTTCGAGTTATGTGACTCAGTTAATGACTGGTTAATTTAATTTATATTTATTCAAATTCTTTCATCTCAATTTAGTGTGAAATTAAATGACACAAGATAAAAAAGGTTTTAAGTGACAGAGATTTGGAGACAGAATTACAAATGACATTTACATTTTAAACAATCGAGAGTCCAGGGTCTTTACATTAAATAATCTGATCACTGATCCTAGTCGTAGCAAAAATTAATCGTCAAGTTCATCTGGCATTGAAATTGAAAAAAAATCGTGAATGGGATTCCAATTTTCAAGCAAAAGTATAATAAATATTATCTATGCATTATAGAAAGAGACCAAGCTGTTATATGATATGAGAATTATGATAAAATTAGCCACACTGACAGTTTACAAAGGCTTTATTCGCCGAATGGATATCCTGTGATGAAAGGTAGCCTTGTGCGAACTTTTCTTTGATATTCAATATATTCCAAACCAAAAAAGTTCACCAGAAGCATTTCTTCATCATAAATTCGTTCATGGAAAAATTTCCAACAGACGACGGTGTATACAATCACGCAAACTGGATTAGCCAAAAGAACCTAAAACCAATTGAGTGGAATAAATTTAGTAATTATGAATACTGATTTGAGACAATTCAAAAACTTACCTGAGTTCCAATAGCCCACCAAAACCATCCAACATAAGAAGGATGTCGAGACCAAGAATAAACTCCATGAGTAACTAATATATGATCTCTTGATTTTTTGGTTTGAATTGTGTGATCAAAATTGCTTCTGGCAGTTAAAATGGCTAATTTACGAAGAAAATCACCAGCTAAACACATTATTAATCCTACAAACATCACGAAAGTGCTGCTTTTAATTTGGTGAGAAAAATGAAGCTCAATGAAATACTCCCCAACAGCGGCAATCAATGCTGTATGATAAGCTACGCTGTGATTCAACATGAATGATCCTATTTTAACAGATTTAGGCTTAGTTATAGCTATGACTAGGTATTCCGAAAAGTGGAATAAGCCGACCACAACCAAGAATAAAAAAAATGGAATCCAGTGAATAGGGATGAGAAAACAATATGTCAAACTGAGACCAAAAACAGATCCAAGTAATGTTGACCGCCAAATTATCTGGGAAACAAAAAAGGGAAAATAACACATTAGAAAGGGAACAATTCTTGAATTCAGTCCAAATTTTCTTACTTGGTAGTCATGATTGTAATGATGGTATCTGAAGTAGCAAAATAGCTGTACAATTAAGATGAGAGCCAGATAAAGAAGAAACCATAATTGATTGAATAGACTGTTGGTGCTTGAGATGAAACATAAAGAGAAAGCAATAGGACAAGTAACTAAAGAATAGGTAAAACTGTTTAAACTGAGTTTACCCTCAGGACAAAGGTTATGAAAAAGTTGAGATGATATCATAGTTGATTTTAACAATCGGAAATTAAGTTTAACATGTGAAACATCAAATGTATCCCAGTTTTATTATTTAGTTTAGATTGATTAACATTTTTGTAAAAACATGGAACAGGATTAGTTGTCAGCTGAGCAGAAACTGTCATGTGATACCGGTCACAGAGAAAAATAATTTAAGTTATTTCATATTTAGTTGAGATATTTGAGCAAGGATGAGATTAATCAAACTGAGTAGTACGTTGTATGGAATATTGACATAAATTATAATAATGAGTAAATCACTTATTAGGTTGTATTGCTTATTTTAAATAATAATTGATGAACGGGAATAGGTTAATATCCTTTTAGCTAGTTACTGTAAGAGTTTAAGCTATTATATTCGCTAGGAAATAACAATCAAAGAGTTTTGTTGTCTTGATATTAAAATCTATAAAAAATTACTTGAATTAAGATGAATTATTGTTAAGTTGCTAATAACTGAATTAAATCTCGCGTCAACTTTTTATCGATAATCGAAATATTGCCATCGATTTATCGATCATATGTTTGATTGACCTCAGTTTGTCTTGTATTCAGATTTGTTATTCAGATTATTTTGAGACTTAATTTGTTGTTTTGTCCTCTATTTAATTAATTCTGTGTCTATTATTTGTTTGATTAAAATGATTGCTTCCAGGGTGTTTTCTACTCTTCTGAAACACAATCCTAATGCAGCTCGTATGATGCTGAGACAAAGTCACAGTGGAAAAGTGGTTACTAGGAACATTTATCCTCGAGCTGGGCCTAATCCTTTTGGTGAACCAGAATGGTTTTTCAATCCAGTTCACAAAATAATGAAAAAAGTTATGTTTGCTGCTTGCGTCTGGGTCGTTATTGATGTAAGGTACTTTGGACAGTTTCGAGCCAATGGCACCCCTTTCACCATCCAATTGGTCAATACCTTGTTTCCCAGTGTACCAAAACGCTACGAACACCATCATGAGGCTGCCCATCATTAGAGAAATAAGTTGAAAGAGACAAAATAACAAAATAAATATACAAGTAAATTCAACAAATCTGTTGTATTCTCTATATAATTACATAAGTAAAGTTTGATTTGTAGCAGTTATATTCCAACGCATATTATTTCATTCATTAATTGCTTGAACAACCTTTAGTTGAACCGGTCAAGCTATTTTTCGTGTTTTACCTTAATTTTATATGAAACTATGCTTATCAGTTATTTCATTTCAAATTGAGTGTTTTTCTTGTTGCTTATTGTTTACTGTAAGAAAAATGCTCATTTTTTGCGATTTATCTTTTGCTCGAGGTTCTAAGATTTGTTACTTAAAATATGTTGGAAAATAGTGCGCTGGAGTTGCCCAGAGTCTGATCAATACAGTTTTCATTGATCGTTTTACCATTTGATAAAATACCAGATGAAATACAGTAGCAAGTCCGACATTAAATTTTGATATTGTTAGAGAATTATTTCGGTGCCAAAGGCGAACAAATCATTGCTACTATGATACTCGATTAACTGCTCTTGGTCCTCCTCAATATCTCCCATTACCAATATGGATCAATCAGATTCTGAAGAGATTCGTAGAGTAGTATATGTTGGTAACTTGGATTCATCTACTACTGCTGAACAACTTTTAACGTTTTTCAATCGACTTGGAGAAGTGAAGTATGTTCGAATGGCTGATGATGAAGAACAATCAACTAGATTTGCTTTTGTTGAGTTCACCGAACAATCATCAGTGGCCAATGCTTTACAGTACAATGGTGTTATACTCGGAGGTAGAGCACTTGAAATTAACCATACAAACAGTGCCATAGTAAAACAACAGGCTAAAAGCGATGAAGGTGCTCAGAAGGAAATTGAAGAAGCCATGGAGCCAACTTACAATGATGAATCAGAAAAAATGGATTCGGACGAGAAGAAACCTGAAACAAAGGACAGATCCAGGTCACGCTCTGGCTCGAAATCCAAGACAAGAGATAACATTATATTTTGTGTCTTAATTTAATCGTAAATGAATTATCCATTTCAGTGTTTCATTCCATACTGAATGTTCTTAATGTAATCTTGTGTATGTTTCAAAGTATCTCATTTTTTTATCTGCTTGTGCATTTTTTGGTATTTTACTTAAAATGTATGTTGAATCTAATGCAGTTTTTATCGATACTCGTCTTTACCGAGATTTGTTTGGAGCTATGTTTGCCATTTTGATCTGAATATAACTTTGTAAAAAAATTGATCTGATTGTCATTTGTGAAATAATTAAATGATGAAATAATGTTTAATAAATTTATATCATAATATTCCAATATTAATATTTAACTTTTATCCAGCTCTTTATCAGTTGGAGTTTGTTTTCGTTTCTTAATTAACTCCAGATCCCATTTATTTCTAGCTATAGAGAGTATAATGGAATTAATCACAGGATAACTGAATAACAACCCTGAACACAAGTAAACAAGACCTGGTTTGGAATCTATTGTTGCTTGAAAAATTTTCGTGTAAAACAATGAAGACAATGTCGGAACCAAACCTCCAATAATCCCTGTAACGGCATAAACTCGACCAACTTCAGTAGGTTCAATCATCCGGGAAATGATGACTCTATCAAGAACAAGTGAAACACCAGCAAAAATACCAATAACGGAGAGGAAATAAACGATTGGATCATAGACGATTCCTCTGATCATAAAATTGAACATCATTGAAGCATAACTGATTGCAGAGACTGTACTATCATGAAACTTCAACCAATGTATGAATAAAGGAGGACCCGAAAGAGCACCTAAAGCAAGCCACAAGATCGGAAATGATCCATAATAACCAATTTTTTCTGCATTAAAATGGTAGACTCTTTGGGCAAATTGATATGAAATCGCTTGTTCACCAACGTAGGCCATATTGGATACATAGCCTGCAATTATCGATGTAAAAAGATACCAATGAGCGTTATTGGGTTTCTTTTTGAAAATACAACGAGCTGCATCCAAATAGTTATTGGGATTGATTAGATCACAGACTACTTGAGCCAAAGATTTCTTTTTCTCATTCTTAACTTCATCTGAACTTGGTTCATCTGATTTCGCATTTTTATCAACACTTTCAGCAGAATCATATATCATTATAATAGCCCAAACTGCCGCAATCAGTCCACATATAGATGAGACAATATATACTCCAATGTAGTTACGGAGTTGATTTGGAAACCAAGGTTTGGATTCGAGTATACGGCCTCCAAAAATGCTGCAGATGGGTAAAGCTATTTGAAAAACACAATAAAATTGCTAATTGAATTTTAAATAACCTTTACAAATTAATTTCGACTTACATGCAAATACACATATCTCGAGTACCGTGAATCTTAGAGCTCTATATTCAGCCGGAGTTTTTCTGGTGGCATAAGTGTAAGTTCCTAATGAAATGGTAGTTAAACTTCCAGTCAAAACGGGAACCAAATACGTGTAAATTAGTGAGTAGGAATCTGTAATTAAATGTATATTATTAAGTGATATTCTTTACCAACGATGGTTAATCCAAAGCAAATATTCTTACCCAATTGAAAATGAAAATATTGGTAGATGGTGAACACATTCTGACTGATAATTGAGAAAATTGAAGTAGCCAGAAGGTACCGTAAATGTCCTGGATATGTGTCCAGCCAATGTCCCAGAATGACTGATATGAATATTGATGGTAAAGTTGTCAGTATATTTAAATACAGTTTCAGTGATGTCGTTTCTTTTAAAACTTGATTTCGTATAAAATCATAGCCTGGTTCAGATTTTTCCAAGTTTAAACACACGGTTTCATTGACGGAAAATTTGTTGGTACATATTTTATCTTGGACAAGTTGGTTGAATGCGATACTGGGTAATGAAACAAGAATATTGGCAAGAAGAAAGAATACGTCGATTCGAAGAAGTTTAATTAGTCCAAGTAGCTCTTTTACTGTAAATTTGGACATTTTCACAATGTTTTTAGTTTGAAATGAGAGTAAACAATTGAGTGATCAACTTGATCAAATCACCATATTTATATATGACAAAACAAATCATGAACAATGAAACCACCACAGAGTCTGGATCAGTCTTATTTAGTTCAATGACAAGATTAGAATTATCGTCGGATTAATGGGATTACATCAAATTTTGTTCAGATTGTCGGTGAATACAAGACGTCGCGAAGACTAAAACAGCCCATTATTGATATTGAATTATTTGTTTTCCTAAATTTATTTATCTACTTAATCTAACCATGAAATATTGTTTCATTTCCACGAATTTATAGCTTTTCTTAAAAAATCAGTGCTTCCATTCCAACTTTTGTAAAGTTCTCATTATCGTCATGATAAAAAATATTTTCTTATTCAATAATCTTAACTGGAATTAGCTTATTGCAAATAAAATTTCCTGGAGATGTGTGAAAGTGACTGAATTAAGTACAGACAGATTTGCATATTGACGCTCTCTTCTCGCTAATTGTTTTAACGTGATTCCTCGGCCATTAATATGAAGATTATTTCGAGTCAGTGTGTTGAGAACTGAAGATTTGTCAAATGCTTGAAGATGTTTTCAGAGTTAATCGAATCTCAAGCAAATGAATGATACATATTAAATAGTATTAGGTAACATGAATCGGATTAAATGGAATCTGGTTCATACTGCAAAAACACAGTTACAGTAACACAATTATCACATTTATACACTTTATACAAATGAACAAAAACGGGTGAAATCGATTTCGATTCGATTTCTTGCAAATTTAGATTCTGTATTTTGTAGAAACATAGAAATTAGATCCGTTAGTGCGAGCAAAATATTTCTCTGATCAATAGTTTCCGAGAAAACCGAGTGCAAAGTTGAAACTTGAATTGCTTTTTGTGCCCTTATGGAAGCTCATATTTTATGGTACTCATTTCAATGCTGTAAATTTTTGTAATTAATCAGAAAATGAAATTATTTTGAGAAACAAAGTTTTCCGTTTCTGCATAATGGACTAAGTTCGATTCTCAGTTAAACATGTCGCATTCTGTGACCGTAAGAATCAGATAGCTGAAACTTAGTATTTGACGACGAAAATTAATGCTACACATCAAGATTCCAATCATTTTCTCAATTTCCCTACAGTTCTCTTGATATTGGCCATTGGCCTTAAAACTTTGAGACTCAATATTTCGATAATGGCATCACCTACAATCATTTTACTTTTACCAATTTAGTTACCTAGTAATAAAAATTCAATGCTATTCAATAATTTTCCACTAGTGCATTTGGGTCATGATATTTAGGTTCCAGTTGCACAACGACAACTTATTAAACAAAACAAACTCATTTAAAACCATTTCTTGGTAAACAAAGCAATTTTCTGGTTAAAGTTGCCTTTTCTGGCAAAATGATATGCAAATATTATTGTCAAAGGCTCGAAAATTTGATTTAAGAGTTGAGAATCAGTGGGTTTGTAGGGACATCAAAGCTGAGTCCTTTAATACTATTAAATCATTGATCCGATGAACGGTTTACTAGAAAATCGAGGTTGAAGTTGAAACTTTGATCGTCTTTTGTACAATTATGGAAGCAAATTAATTCACGAAACTAATTTTACTGATGTTAACTTCGATGGCCAACCAGAAGATGTACTTAGTTTGCGAAATAAAGTTTCCTGTTTTCTGTAAAGCAGATCATTTCGATTTTAAGTTAAACCTGTCGCATTCGCTGACCGAAAGATTTAGAAAGATGAAACTTAGTATTTGTCGACGAAAATTGATGCTACACTTTGACATTCAAACGATTTTTAAAATTTCTCTACAGTTCTCTTGATATTGGCCATTGGCCTTAAAACTTTGAACCTCAATATTTCGAGAATGGCATCACTTACAATAACCATTCCTTCACCAATTTAATTCCCTACTAATTCAATTCAAAAATTTTCTATTAGAGCATTTGAGTCATGATTCTTGGGTTGTAAATTGACGAGTAATAACTTATTTAACAAAACAAGCTCATCTCAACCCAAGTCTTGGTAAATACAATGTACAGCAATTTGCTGGTTAAACTTGCAAATGAAATGCAAAAAAGCACAACAAAAGATCGAACATTTGTTTTAAGAGTTGTGACTCTGTGGATTTGTAGGGACATAAAAGCTGAGTCTGTTGGTACTTATAAATACTTTATCCGATGGACAGCTTTCGATAAAATCTAAGTCAAAATTGTAACTTCGATCGCGTTTTGTTTAGCTATGGAAGCAAATTTTTTCACGAAACTTATTTGAAAGGTGTAACTAATTATGACAAACCAGAAAATGGTCTTATTTTGAGAAATAACATTTTGTGTTTCTGTAAAACAGATCGAATTCGATTTTCAGTTAGACCGATCTTTTTCTGTTATCATAAGAGTTAGCGAGCTGAAACTTATTATTTGTCTATCGAAATTGCTGCTTTACATAATGGATTGAATACTTTTTGCAATTGTACAACAGTTTTTCTTATTTTGGCCATTGGCCTTAAAACTTTGAGACTCAATATTTCGGAAATGATATCACTTTCAATCATCATTCTTTCACTAAACATCAGATGTAATTATGGCCTATCACAGTATATTCGATAGTAGAATGAGTACCGAAAAAATCTGAGCTAATTCATTATATAATCAAGATCCTTTTAAGTTTTGTGTTTGGCAACCATTTAATTTTACAAATAAAGTCTCAAATCTAAAGTCAATAGCAATCCAATGTTATAATTTTTTTGTAGCATATAATCTTGAGATATGGAAGTGGCGAGTTATTTGTGAATATTGAAATGACGATTCCCATGTTTAAATTTTAACTTTTATCCATCTCTTTATCAGTTGGAGTTTGTTTTCGTTTCTTAATTAACTCCAGATCCCATTTATTTCTAGCTATAGAGAGTATAATGGAATTAATCACAGGATAACCGAATAACAACCCTGAACACAAGTAAACAAGACCTGGATTGGAATCTATTGTTGCTTGAAAAATTTTCGTATAAAACAATGAAGATACAGTCGGAACTAAACCTCCAATAATCCCTGTAACGGCGTAAACTCGACCAATTTCAGTAGGTTCAATCATCCGGGAAAGGATGACTCGATCAAGAACAAGAGAAACACCGGCAAAAATACCAATAATGGTGAGGAAATAAACGATTGGATCATAGACGATTCCTTTGATCATAAAATTAAACATCATTGAAGCATAACTAATTGCAGAGACTGTACTATCATGAAACTTCAACCAATGTATGAATAAAGGAGGACCCAAAAGAGCACCTATAGCAAGAAACAAGATCGGAAATGAACCATAATAACCAATTTTTTCTGCATTAAAATGGTAGACTCTTTGGGCGAATTGATATGAAATCGCTTGTTCACCAACGTAGGCCATACTGGATACATAGCCTGCAATTATTGATGAAAAAAGAAACCAATGAGCGTTATTGGGTTTCCTTTTGAAAATACAACGAGCTGCATCCAAATAGTTATTGGGATTGATTAGATCACAGACTACTTGAGCCAAAGATTTCTTTTTCTCATTTTTAACTTCATCTGAACCTGGTTCATCTGATTTCACATTTTCATTAACACTTTCAGCAGAATCATATATCATTACAATAGCCCAAACTGCCGCAATGAGTCCACATATAGATGAGACAATATATACTCCAATGTAGTTACGGAGTTGATTTGGAAACCAAGGTTTGGATTCGAGTATACGGCCTCCAAAAATGCTTGATATGGGCAAAGCTATTTGAAAAACAAAATAAAATTGTATAAATTGAATTTTAGGACAACCTTTATTAAATTAACTTTGACTTACATGCAAATAAACATATCTCGAGTACCGTGAATCTCAGAGCTCTATATTTAGCTGGAGTTTTTCTGGTGGCATAAGTGTAGGTTCCTAATTGAATGATAGTTCCACTTCCAGTCAAAACGGGAACCAAATATGTGTAAATTAGTGAATAGGAATCTGTAATTAAATTTACATATGTTTATATTATTAAAGGATATTATTATTATTATTATCAAAGATGGTTTATCCAAAGCAACTATTCTTACCCAATTGAAAATGAAAACATTGATAGATGGTGAACACATTCTGACAGATGATTGAGAAAACTGAACTAGCAAGAAGGTACCGTAAATGTCCTGGATATGTGTCCAGCCAATGTCCCAGAATGACTGATATGAATATTGATGGTAAAGTTGTCAGTATATTTAAATACAGTTTCAGTGATGTCGTTTCTTTTAAAACTTGATTTCGTATAAAATCATAGCCTGGTTCAGATTTTTCCAAGTTTAAACACACGGTTTCATTGACGGAAAATTTGTTGGTACATATTTTATCTTGGACAAGTTGGTTGAATGCGATACTGGGTAATGAAACAAGAATATTGGCAAGAAGAAAGAATACGTCGATTCGAAGAAGTTTAATTAGTCCAAGTAGCTCTTTTACTGTAAATTTGGACATTTTCACAATGTTTTTAGTTTGAAATGAGAGTAAACAATTGAGTGATCAACTTGATCAAATCACCATATTTATATATGACAAAACAAATCATGAACAATGAAACCACCACAGAGTCTGGATCAGTCTTATTTAGTTCAATGACAAGATTAGAATTATCGTCGGATTAATGGGATTACATCAAATTTTGTTCAGATTGTCGATGAAAACAAGACGTCTCGAAGACTAAAACAGCCCATTATTGATATTGAATTATTTATTTTCCTAAATTTGTTCATCTACTTAATTTAAGCATGAAATATTGTTTCATTTCCAGGAATTTTGAATTATTTCTTAAAAAATCAGTGCTTTCATTCCAACTTTTGTAAAGCTTTTATTATCGTCATGATAAAAAATACTTTCTTATTCAATAATCTTAACTGGAATTAGCTTATTGCAAATAAAATTTCCTGATTTGTGAGAGACTGAATCGAGTGCAGACAAACTTGTATATTAACGTTCTCTTCTCGCTAATTGCTTTAACGCGATTATCGGCCATTACTATGAAGATTATGTCGAGTCAGTGTGTTGAGTACTAAAGATTTGTCAAATGATTTGACGATGTTTTCAGAATTCATCGAATCTCAAGCAAATAAAATGATACAATTTAAATAGTATTAGATAACATGAATCGGATTAAATGGAATCTGGTTGTTACTGCAAAGACAAAGTTACAGTAACACAATTATCACGTTTATACACTTTACACAAATGAGCAAAAACGGGTGAAACGATTTCTTTAAAATTTAGACTCTGTATTTTTGTAGAAACTAGATCCATTAGTGCGATCAAAATATTTTTCTGATCAATAGTTTCCGAGAAAACCGAGTCCAAAGTTGAAACTTCGATTGCATTTTGCACAATTATGGAAGCAGATTTTTTCGTGGTACTCATTTCAATGCTGTAAATTTAGGTAATTAGTCAGAAAATGAAATTATTTTGAGAAACAAAGTTTTCCGTCTCTGCATAATGGACCAAGTTCGATTCTCAGTTAAACATGTCGCATCCTGTGACCGTAAGAGTTGGGTAGCTAAAACTTAGTATTTGTCGACGAAAATTGATGCTATACATCAACATTTCAACAACTTTCTCAATTTCTCTACAGTTCACTTGATTTTGACGATTGGACTTAAAACTTTCTGCCTCGATATTTCGAGAATGGCATCACCTACAATAATTATTCTTTTATCAATTTAGTTACCTAGTACTAAATAATTCAATGTTATTCAATAATTTTCCATTAGTGCATTTGGGTCATGATATCTGGGTTCCAAATGCACAACGACAACTTATTAAACAAAACAAACTCATTTAAAACCATTTCTTGGTAAATAAAGCATTTTTCTGGTTGAACTTGCAAATGCAATGCAAAAAAGGACTACCAAAGGCTCGAAAATTTGAGTTAAGAGATGAGACTCAGTGGGTTTGTAGGGAGATCAAAGACGAGTCCTTTGGTACTATTAAATAATTGATCCGATGAACAGTTTACTAGAAAATCGAGGTCAAAGTTGAAACTTTGATCGTCTTTTGTACAATTATGGAAGCAAATTAATTCACGAAACTAATTTTACTGAGGTTGACTTTGATGGTCAACCAGAAGATGCACTTAGTTTGCGAAATAAAGTTTCCTGTTTTCTGTAAAGCAGATCATTTCGATTTTAAGTTAAACCTGTCGCATTTTGTGACCGAAAGATTTTGAAATATGAAACTTATTGTTCTTCGATAAAAATTGATGCTACACTTTGACATTCAAACGATTTTTTCAATTTCTCTACAGTTTCCTTGATTTTGGCCATTGGCCTTAAAACTTTGAGACTCAATATTTCGTGAATGGCATCGCATAGAATCATTATTCTTCCTCCAATCAATAGATTTTATCATGGGCTATTACTGTATAAATTTTAAATGCTACAAAAAAGTTATAACATTGATTGCTATTGATGTTAGATTTGAGACTTTATTCGTAAAGTTGAATGTTTTCATAAACCCAAATTGACATAAATGAGCAGAAACGGGTGAAAAGCAATTTTGTTACATCAGTTGATCTGTATGAACATAGAAACTGAGTCAATTTGTTCGATTAAAAATTTTTTCCGATCAATAGTTTTCGAGTAAAGCGCGTTCGAAGTTGTAACTTCGATCGCCTTTTATGCAACTATGGAAGCATATTTTTTCATAAAACTTCATTACGCTCATGTAACTTTTGATTTCCATCCAGTAAATGCATCTATTCACAGAAATAACTTTTTCCGTTTTCTGTAAAACAGATCATTTCGATTTTAAGTTAAACCTGTCGCATTCGCTGACCGAAAGATTTAGAAAGATGAAACTTAGTATTTGTCGACGAAAATTGATGCTATACATCAACATTCAAACGATTTTTAAAATTTCTCTACAGTTTCCTTGATTCTGGCCATTGGCCTTAAAACTTTGAACCTAAATATTTCGAGAATAGCATCACTTACAATAACCATTCCTCAGCCAATTTAATTCCCTACTAATAAATAACTCAATCCAATTCAATAACTTTCTATTAGAGCATTTGCGTCATGATTCTTGAGTTGTAAATTGACGTGCAATAACTTATTGAACAAAACAAGCTCATCTCAACCCAAGTCTTGGTAAATAAAGCAATTTTCTGGTTCAACTTGCAAATGAAATGCAAAAACTACTGGCAAAAGCTCGAACATTTGTTTTAAGAGCTGAGACTCTGTGGATTTGTAGGGACATGCAAGCTGAGTCTGTTGGTACTATTAAATACTTAATCCGATGTACAGTTTTCGAGAAAATCGAGGTAAAAATTGAAACTTCGAACGTCTTTTTTGCAACTATTGAGCTAGATTTTTTCATGAAACTTATTTGAAAGGTGTAACTAATTATGACAAACCAGAAAATGGTCTTATTTTGAGAAATAGCATTTTGTGTTTCTGTAAAACAGATCGAATTCGATTTTCAGTTAAACCGATCACTTTCTGTGACCGTAATAGTTAGCGCGCTGAAACTTATTATTTGTCTATCGAAATTGTTGCTTCACATCATGGATTGAATACTTTTTGCAATTGTACAACAGTTTTTTTTATTTTGGCCATTGGCTTTAAAACTTTGAGACTCAATATTTAGGGATGAAATCACTTTCAATCATCATTCTTTCACTAAACATCAGATGTAATTATGGGCTGTAACAGTATATGCGATAACAGAATGAGTACCGAATAAAATCTGAGCTAATTCACAATATATAATGAAGATTCTTCTAAGTTTTGTGTTTGGTAACCATTCAACTTTACGAATAAAGTCTGAAATCTAAAATCAATAGCAATCCAATGTTATAACTTTTTTGTAGCATTTAAAATTTATACAGTAATAGCCCATGATAAAATCTATTGATTGGAGGAAGAATAATGATTCTATGCGATGCCATTCACGAAATATTGAGTCTCAAATTTTTAAGGCCAATGGCCAAAATCAAGAGAACTGTAAAGAAATTGAGAAAATTGTTCAATCCATGATGTTTGCTATTAGTTTTATCGACAAATACTAATTTTCATGTTTCTAATTGATATAGCCACGAAATGCGACAGGTTTAACTTAAAATCGAAATTATCTGCTTTACAGAAAACAGAAAACTTTATTTCGTAAAATAAGTACCTCTTCTGGTTGGCCATCAAAGTTAACCTCAGTAAAATTAGTTTCGTGAAAAAATTTGCTTCCATAATTGTACAAAAGACGATCAAAGTCTCAACTTTGAACTCCATTTTGGCGAAAACAATTGATCATAGAAATTTTCAAATAGCAAAAATGGACTAATCTCTTGTGTCCCTAGAAACTAACAGAATCTAAATTTGAAAGCAATTGATTTTTACCCGTTTTTGGCCATTTGTGTAAAGTTTATAAATTTTATAATTGTTTTAATTGTGTCTTTGCAGTAACAAAAAGATTCCGTGTATGTTATCTAATACTATTTAATATGTATCATTTTATTTGCTTGAGATCTAATAAGTTCTGAAAACATCGTCAAAATCATTTGACAAATTTTTAGTACTCAACACACTGACTCGACATAATCTTCATAGTAATGGCCGATCAAAAAATTATTGAGAAAGGAGCGTCAATATATTCAGTTTTTTATTTAGCAAAGTTAACAGAACAAATAAAATTTCATCCTTTATTATTTAAATTAATTTCATGGAATTTACATTATTACGCAGATGAACCATATCTCGTTTTTGATTATCACTTTCCATCTTAAACGCGGTTCGATTGGCTTTCTTTTCTATTCTCCTCTCTCTTTTCATTTCTTTGAAAGCAGCTTTTCTAGCTTTTCTTTCTTCTGGAGATTCATTTTTATCTCTTTCAGAAAGCTCACTTATTCTAGATATTCTGGAATAACTGGATCTAGGTCCTGATTTTTTACCATCAGAATCGTTGATTACATCCAGCTCTCGTAGATTTTTCTTTGTTAATCCTGTGTTTGGAGATACAATAACTCCTGAAACAGGATCTATGTTTAATTTCTTGGGTGCTGAACGCTCAGTACGAATTAATTTAGGGTGGTTGTAAAGATTTGAATAAGTTGATAGGACTGATTCACAGTCGTAAAGTCTTTCTCCGTGTTTACCAGCATCTAATTCAATCTCCAATTGGACCAAGTCATTTTCTGTGTCTGTATTGTCGCTATTCTCCTCACCATTCAAAGTTAAAGTCTTAATTTTATCATCTTTTGACAGTAATTTCACTTGTTTCAAGTCTTCCTCGTCTTGTATCAATTTTTTTAAAGCTTGGCATTTATTGGGATTTATAGATCCTTCAATATCGTCCAAATCAAGTGCACCCAAATCCATATCGTTTCCATACTCTTTTTCAAACATGGCTTCAAATTTTTCATCTTAAATAGTAAATGAAATACATTAGAAAAAATGGTTAAAAGCAACACAGTAACTTATAAAAACTCACCAATCAAAGATAGTCCTTCATTACGCGGTAACACTGAAGACGTTAGAGAGTATTCAGTGAAAACTGATTTTGTTTCTTCTTTAGTCAAAGTTTTGTCGTTTGAATCTTCTTCGAAGCAGAATGATCCCTCATCTTCAGAATCAATAGATTCAGTGTCTTCATCTTCCTCCTCGCCTTCTTCATCATCATCGTAGACGTACCGTTCCTTAGTAAATCTAGACATTGAATAATTGGGCTGACAATCCTCGTCATCAGATGATTCATTATCTTCCTTTTGAACAAGGCCACTCTCTAAAATTTCAGTCAAATAATCATCTGTGAGCTGATTACTTGGATCTTCTAGATCAAAATCATCATCCATGGCAGCAATTATATCAGGATCGACATTAAGTTGTGGTCCACTAACAGGAGCAGCTTTATTGAGCATACCTTCATCCTCCTCAATTACAGATGGAAAAACAGATGATGGTAGTTTCAATTTATGATTAGTCTTTTTTGTTTCTTCAACCATTTCCCATTCTCGATCGAATTCATCCCTGGATTTCAAATGCTTCAAGTAATCATAATTGTCGTCGAAATAGATACCATATTTAATTTGTTCTTCCTTATGAGTTTCTTTTTCTTTAGAAGCAACAACTTCTTGTAAAACATGTTGAGGAGCAGTTTCATCAGCAATTAAAGGATCATGTTGACTTCTGTGGACAAGTCTAAAAGTAACACCTTTCTTTTTGTCAATCCGTGGTTTTGTTTTTGGCATATTGGACAAATTTCAATTCAAAACAAAGAATAATTCACAACAACAAAACAGGAGAAAAATAAAGTGAAAAAACACGTTGAATGTTTAAACTAAATTTTCAATGAAAGCAGTGTTTTGAATCAAATGAGAAAAAGATACTGATAAAGATACCAAACTATCTATTGAAATATCTGCAAATATTTTTCACTGAAGACACCAAACAGATTTTAAAACCAGGCCAAATGTTGAAATCAAGGTTCCGAGCAATTTAATTAATAAATATTTCAACAGATTAATCACTAATTATTATTATTTTAATATAATCTGCATTGATTTAACCATTTAGCTTCAACTGGTCACAAACCTCCATCTAGCGTCTAAAACTTTACTTTCGACGGAAGAGGATACAAAATTGTATATTAGATGGCGTTACCGCGTTATTAGACGGTCACCGGCGGTAACCGTTAGTTGACTAAAATAATTTAACTAAAGTTAATCAACATCAATTAATAGCTGTCTCTGCGAGGGAAATAAATTCAATGGAGTTTAAAGCCAATTTATTCGATCTGAGTGAAACTGAATGATGGAGATTATATTCCGAATTGAGTATTGAATCTCAAGTGAATAGTTTAAAGAATATCAAAACTGAAAGAACTAAAGAAACAGCCACGGTTAATGCGTTACATTTACCAAAAAAGTAAGTAATCCAATCATGTTTTGAAAGTGTGTAAAGGTTTATATTCATCAAGTTTTTCCGATTACTTTAAATCAACTTGAAATATTAATTTTATGATCATTTTAGTACAATTTTCACCTCATTCATCGATATGGTTTTTTGAAAATATCGATGTTAGTCTCTGATAGCGATAATATCGCCTTTTAATCGGATCATGTTGAATCCTCTTTCTTTCTAATGCACGCATGTCATGTGATGGCACTGTAGTTAAAGTTAACTCAATATAGTGAATTCAAATTATGTTGTTTTAATTTATATTTTGCCCTGAATTATTTAGATTAGTTTGCGACAATGGGTTCGGAAACATGTGTAATCCAGGTTACCAACATCGCTCCGAGTGTAACTTTGGAGCAAATGACAACACTTTTTGGTTTCATTGGGCAAATCAAAGAAATTCAAATGTACCCTAAAAAGTGAGTACCTTTACTTGAGCCGGTCAACCTATTTTTTCGTATTTTACCTTAATTTTATATAAAATCATGCTTTTCAGTGGATTTCATTCCATATTGAATGTTTGTCTTGTTGCTTATTGTCTAATATATGAAATAGCCCATTTTTATTGACTCGTTTATTTTTGCTTTATTTTCTCAATTTCAGCGATTTATCTTCTAATCAAGGTTCTAAGGTTTGTTACTTACGATATGCTGAACCTTGGTGCACTGGAGTTGCACAACATCTGACCAATACAGTTTTCATTGATCGTGCTCTGATCGTTTTACCAGTTAGTGATGATAAAATACCAGATGAAACTACAGCATTAAGTCTTACATCAAATGCTGGTCTTGGGGGCTCAAATTCTGGTATTGTTAGTCAAGTAGTTCTCGGTGTCAAAGGAGAACAAATCATTACTACTATTGACCCCCGATTAACTGCTCTTGGTCTTCCTCAATACCCACCATTACCTGCCAATATGGATCCATCAAAAATAGAAGAGATTCGTAGAACAGTATATGTTGGTAACTTAGATTCATCTATTACTGCTGAACAACTTTTAACATTTTTTAATCGTCTTGGAGAAGTAAAGTATGTTCGAATGGCTGGTGATGAAGCACAACCAACTAGATTTGCTTTTGTCGAATTCACCGAACAATCATCAGTGGCCAATGCTTTACAATATAATGGTGTTATACTCGGAGGTAGAGCGCTTAAAATTAATCATTCAAACAATGCTATAGTAAAACCTCAAGCAAAAAGCAATGAAGCCGCTCAGAAGGAAATTGAAGAAGCCATGAAAAGAGTACGAGAAGCTCAATCATTGATCTCAGCCGCAATTGAGCCAACTTACAATGTTAAACTGGAAAAAATGGAATTGGACGAGAAGAAACCTGAAACAACTGAAAAATCTAGGTCACGCTCTCGTTCGAAATCCAAAACGCGAGATCGCAGTGGTTCTCGCTCGAGAAATAGAAGATCTCGCAGTAGAAACCGAAGATCTAAATCGAGGGAGAGATCTCGTCGATCATGGCGATCAAGGTCCAGAGATAAAAAACGTTCTAAATCAAGGGATCGAAGGCGTTCTAGATCTAGAGATAGGCGATCAAGATCTGCATCTAGAGATCGAAGGCATCGTCGGCGAGGGAGTGACCGTGAAAGATCTCGTAGAAAAAGTAAAGACCGTGATTCTCATTATTCAAGGTAAGCTTTTGTTGAAATTCACTTGACTTTGCCATTCATTTATTAAACTTTAAACTTATCTCCTTCCAGGGATCGTGACCGAGAGAGAGATCGGGACAGAGACAGGAAACGTTCTAGTAGAGACAGAGATCGACCAGAAAGTAAGTAAAAATTTAATTTTAAAGTCTTGATTTCACATTATTCATCCTTTTATAAATAATTAATTTGCATTATCTCCCTCAGAAACTAAAGACAAAGAACGGGATAGGAACGGGGAACGTGATAGAGACAAAGACAGGGGTCGAGATAGAGACCGAGATCGTGACCGAGATCGGGATAGAGAGCGCGATAGGAATCGTGATAAGGATCGTGATCGTGATGGTGATCGCGACCGTGAAAAGGATAAAGATCGAGATAAAGACAAAGAAAAATCTCGTCACCGAAGTCGTAGTAGATCTTGTAGTAAACCTAAAAAAATAGTTGATGAATTGGAGAAAGAAAGAAGGAAAGAGCGTTTACTGAAAGACGAAAGACGAGTAACTCCACAAAAAGCAGTTACACCCACAAAAGAAAGACATAGTCCACCAGAAAATGACCACTCGGAGAACTCCCGAAGCTCTTATGATAAAGAAGAATGTAAGTTTACCTTTCAGTAATTTCTTCTGCGTTTTCTTTACTTGAATCAAATTTTATGAACATTTCACCTGAATTTTCTTATCAACAGGTCCAAGTCAAGCAGGCAGTGAAAGCTCATGTAAAAACTGTGGAAGTTCAGCCAGTGAAGAGCAACCTATGGAAGGACCAGCTTTGCCTCCTGAATATACTGGAGCACAATGGTGATCTTGGTTAGATCAGTGCATTTTGTAAATTACTTACATCTCACATCCAACTTTTCTTGCTTCGTCCAAAAACAAGAAATGTCAAATTTACTTTAACGTAACTCTGTGACCATTCATTTTGTTTCGAAAGCGAAAAATACATCCCTTGAAGGTCTTGTCATGAGATCCTCAAAAACACTCTATATTTTTGAATAATGTCTCTTTTATTTTCTTTTTTTTCTCTTTATGTTCTCTTTTTTCTCGTACAAACTGCTTTTTGCTCTACAGATAAAAGAGTCATTCCAAATGAAACGGGAGTCCAAACCATTTTTACATGGATCTGAAACAAAACCTGTCTCATATCTAAGTCAAAACTGAATCCAATCTCAAATCATCAAATTTTATTTCTTTTGAATATCTTATCATCTTAAAAAGGGAAGAGTCTAATTGCGTCTTGGATGCTTCTTACCTGCCTCTCTACTTGTGCCAAACAAAATCTAAGATGACATCTATATCAATAATCGATGACTCTGGTGATAGTCAAAACAGTCAATTATTTTTTAACCATGAAATTTCAATGGTCCTCAGATTCATAGCTAAAGCTCTTTTCCTTTTTTAATTAATATTTCTTTTTTTATCGTCTTGTTAACTCTCATTTCAGAGACAGCGAGAAAAATCAAAAACAAGTTAATCAAGATGGTTTGTTAAAAAATGGACACTTTTCGGGGGTCAAAGGCTCTTTTTTCATTTGATTCACTGAAAATCTTCACTATCATTTAAAATCTCTCTAAATGATCCAGGATTTTCGGATTTCTTGGTGATAATTTCCCTTATCTTTAAAAAATTTAAGAGAATCATGTCGTACTTAAAATGAAATTGAATAACGTTATAATTTCTCTTTTTCTCTTGTTCTCTTTCTTTCTCTTTCTCTCTTTTTTTATTATCATGATATTGGAATTACAATGTTAACCATATCTTGTTTAACCACCTTTGACCATCAAAATATTCCTAAAACGATTACTCAAAAGCATCCTTTTTTTGGTGAAGCATTCATCTGAATGACGAAAAAAATGCAGACAAAAGCCACGAAGAAGATATAATTATATCTCATATAAATACTATCAAAAGGTAATGAAATGAAATTCAAAAGAAACTTGGCTTAAAGGGTTGAATAAATGTTCAACTGAACTCAATTCAATTTGCTTAGTCATCGATAAACCAGCAAGTTATTCATAAATAGGCTTGGCTTATCTATTTTATTTTGGTACATTATTCCAACTCCCTTTCCTGTGAATTTTCAGTTGAATTGTTATCTTTTTTATTATACAATTTACGCTCTCCATTGTTGAGGATATTTCGTGAAAAAAATATCTGATTGATTTAATTACGATTTCTTTAAATACCTTTCAATGAGAAGAAATAATTTTTATCTCTTTATCATTCTATTCATATCGCCATCCATTTAATTTTAAATGTCTTCTCTGAAAGGTTGACGATTTTCATTCGTAAAGGGGTTTGTCCGTCAAAAATTATTTACAAGAATTGCCATTTCAACAATCAACTATAATTAACATGATTATAATTATAACCAAAAAGATGCAAAAAAGGAGATGTTTTGCTTTTGTGATTATGATATTGATTAACACATACAATCAAACATAAATGTATTTTTCATTTTAAATAATATTCCAACAAGTGTTAAGGCATGTTGAAATTAATATGGTTTTAACAATTAACACAGAAAAATTGATAAGGTTTTGTTTTTGTTCAATTAACTCTCACATTTCAACACGTCTTTTATTTTCTATTTTTTTTTCTTTTGTTTTGTTCAGTGCTTTGGGTTTTTGTGGTGAAAAATACATGAGAACACAAAATAAACTGGAATTGCAATGGATTGGTGTTTAAAGTGATAACCAAAGAGGAGGAAAGCAGACTAGAAGGATTAAAGATGAAATGTTAAGGAGTGACGATGATGATGGTTATGATGAAGAGCCAGGAAAGTAATTCAGAAAAAGCTGGATAAAGAATTGGAAAAAGATGAAAAGATTACGCGAAATGAAGTTACCCTTCTTGGGTTGAGATTTTAAAGGAAATATTATCAAGATTGGACCAGATGGAGATGAAAATCAAGATTATAATGAAAGATGTGCTTGCAATCTAATTAAACTGTGGATTCAAGATATAAACCAGCCAAAAATATAACAATAGTATCAATAATAACGGATGAAAGAGTGATAGAGTTAAACAAAAGGATAACCATTGGAAAATGTAATGGGAAAAATAGTTACAGCAAACCAATCATTGAATGCATGGACAAAAGTAAAGTAAAAATAACAAGAAATGGTAATTAATTAAGATTAATCGATAGATTAATTTAGATTTTCTTTTCTCACTTTCCGTTGATTTGTGATTAATCTTGAGATGGGTAAATCTTAAATCTGAAACTAAAACAACTTGGGCTTTTCATTTTTCATATACTTAGCTTTGCTGTTTGTTTAAACCTTCAACTATTGCATGTACCTTTTTTTATCAAATCATTCAGACATGGAAATTCCATATTTTTGTTCCATAATCAATGAAGATACTCGGTTAAGCTGACGTTGATGCAAAATTAAAAGCCTAGTTGATGAAAAGTGAAAAGCCCAATTAATAAGGACGGTGTTAAAAGAGTTATTTTTAATGTTTTTCTTCCACAAAGATTTGCAGCACATTATTAATGTTTCAATATTTTTTTTATAATTTCTCTTGATTTGATTGTTTTCATCTATTTTTGTGTACTTTTTTTTAAAGGAATGGATTTCATTTAAAGCAAAAGATGTTCTGTTTTCTTGATTAATATTAGTTGCCAGGTTTGACCCATCTTTTAATCGATTTGATACTTTTTGTTCGTTAACAATAATCGCTTTATCTTCTAACGTTGATGGTAATTGCTGATGATGTTAATGATGTTATCGATGGTTTTTTAATATATTTATATATTTATAATACTCTCACTTTTCATCATCAATTTTTGTAATTTATTGTGAGTATTTTGCTGTTTCTTTGTTTAAGTCAACCATTAATGATATCTTTTTTTTTGTTAACCAAATCGCATGATTACATGGTCAGTTTCAGGTCTTCCCTTTTTAGCTTGTTGATAAGGTAAAGCTCCTGGACTTCGTTGATTGTAAAATCTGGATGATAAAACGGAGAAAGGAAAGAGTTAATCAATTTTCACCTTTGACTGATTTGAATCTGGATTCGTTAAACAACTTACAATGCAGTTAAAGGTGAAGCTTGTCCATAGTAACCATATGCTGCAAGCGGAGATGCATTCATATCGTATCCATTAAAAGCTAAACCAGATAAAGATGGAGATGAAGATGACAATGATGAGGATGGAGACAAGGATGAAGATGAAGATGAAGGTGATAGTTGATCCAAAATGTAACGATTAATGTTTCCTTGATCAATTGATGGCAATTTGGATTCACTTATTTCATATGAACTACCAGGAGCTGAATTGGATTCTTCTCGTTTACCAAATCTCATTATATTATGACCTGGAGTGCGACCGAATCTGAGTATGTTATGTCCAGCTTGACGGCCAAATCTCATTATATTATGACCCGTCCTCTTATCGGTGTCTTCATCAATAGGCAATAGTGATGCTAATACAAAGGAACGAGCAAAAGGAGAAAAAAGAAAAAAAAGAAACAAAAATGTTAACTTGATCGTCATTTTCATTTTTATCATCAAAGAGCCAAACACTGTCCATACAAATGTCAGACTCTTGTCCACTTCAATTGCAACCTCTAAGTTATCACACTAAATTACTAATTTATACAGGTAAATGTACTACTTGACCTTTCAGTGTTTCGTAGGGTTGAGTGAAATGCTGTTAGTATTGGTAAGTATTCAACTATAATTTACTCTTTTTGTTGCAAAATTAAATTTAGCTGATAAAAAAGAGTAAACGATAAAAATAATGCTTCATTTGTCCTCTGGAAAAATAGTCCAACTATGAACAGAAATAATTAAACTTTAACCTCTTTTTTCTCTTCCTCATGCAACAGAAAAAGGTAAATGAATGAATTGAATAAACATCTAGTTTGTTAATTATTTTCAATTTACTTGTATGGTTTACCATTGAGCTGTTAATGAGATGGAAAACAAATGCGTAAACAAAATATTGATTCATTGAATGTTTACCTGGATAATTTCAATGTTCAACAATTACGTAAACTGTTCAATGTTCAGCATTTGTCTAACATGCAAAACAAAAAAATTGCTCTTGCATTATTTAAGGCAAAATTGCAACTTCTCCAGCAATCATTTTCCAATTTGATAACAATACTAATTCATGTAATCTTTTCCTTTTAATTAACAGCTATTACGGATAAAATTACAAGCTTTAAGCACAAGAGATGAATTAATTAAAGCTTAAATCACTATTAACATGGGACTTGTTAAGTAACAAACTAGCATTAACACTTTATTGTGTCAAATAATAATGAAGCTAATGGGACTAATGGTTGAAACTGTGTTGATCAATGCTGTTAATCAAGCAAACCAATGACAATCAGCTCATCTACTTTTAGCTAAAGACAGATAATTTTGGTAAATGTTGATTTCAACTGGAACAAATTAACTTGTTGATTAACCTAAATTTTGGATATTTTGGTCATTCAATTCGTTAGGCTAACTGAATTCAATTTGATTAGAAGATTGATTGTTGATCCAGCAAGTTTTCAGGTTACCTTGGCTGTAAAGTTAAGCCTGATTAAGTCCTATTATTGGACTAAATCATTCAATTATTTAACCTTTCCTATAGAGATTCAATTATTCAAGCCAAACTAATCTAGTTAAAATACCTTTCTAATAAAGTTGACAATCAAATTGAGAAAAGCAAAAATGTGATTCACTTTTTGCTTGGCTTACACTTGAACATATTTACAATGGGACAATTTAACCTTTCATTTCAATTAACCAAATGTTTGCTTGCAATGAACAGTTTAAACATTCATTGACAGCTTTAGTGTGAAAACATTTTTTTACAAGTAAATCTTATCAAATACAAAAGCTTGGATTTATTAGGAAGCTCAAAAAATTCAAATTTAATAGTTGACTAAATTTTACAATTAAGGATGAAATTGAATTTACTTGATAATTAATGCTCACGGCAGTTTGCACCATTCAGCATCATTAGACTAATTCAATAAGCTTTAACAGTAAATTACACTTTAGAAGAGTTGAAATGTCGACAGTAAATTAACTAATTCAATTATTATTTACACTTGAATCAATTGTTTTTCAAATTAACATTCAACTTTAAGTTACCCTTGTATTTATATTTCAACTCTCATTTCAAGCTTTATTTTGATGAACTGACCATGCAAGGTTCACTAAACAAAATGTTGACCCTTTTCAATTTAAAATTGTCAACTCGATTATCAGGGATTGAATAAATTGTTTAGTAATCTTCAGAATCAGTAAAGTACCAAATATGATGGTCACTGTAAATAAAAAATGAATCACATTTTCATGAACCTAAAAACAGCGACACTTTTAGGTTGAAATTGGGTTTCAATTTTTAGAGTTGCTAATCAATAGTCTGAACCGATTTAGTCCGAAAGTATGTTTAAACTTTTAACAATTAAATAAGAAGGTTAAACATGCTTGCGAGTTTCATTAATAACAATTACAATGGTTACAGTTGTATTGATTAATGAAATACAAAACCATATATTAAACGAGAAAAAATGGATTTAGAGAAAGATTTGATATTTTTGATTTTTCTCTCTATTCAAATTGATTGAGTGTATCTTTGATTAATGGTTTAATTGGGATTAACATGGTCATTTAAAAACACTGATTGTTAGTGGGATAAAGAAATGAATTGAACAGGAAAACAGAAAGTATCCATTGAAAGGTTGCTATAGACGTCATTGTGCTTTTGACGTACAACCTGGAAAGTAACCCAAAAACACAACAAATTATTGGTGGACACTTGATAATGAAAAGGTACAACTTTAATCATCTCAACATGATTATTATTTAATTAGTAGAGGAAAATGTAATAATAGTGAAAAGTATCAAATGAAGAGGTAACCAGAAAAGTTAGGTCAAGTTTCAAGTGTCATCCATTTATTGGTAAATGAATTGTCATGGAAGCAATAATAACAATATTAAGATATAATTTATCGATTGTAACCAAACCAAAAACTGGTATCATCTTTTCATCTGGTTAAAGATATCAATCAGATTAACCAGTTAACTTGCTTTTTGAAAGATGATCAATACTTGTTGAATCTAAATCAGTTAATCTAAAGATGAACAAATAGGTTTAAGCAAGGTTAACCAGTTTTGGTCATCTTTGGGTTTAATGGTTACATTGTTGGAAACCAATGTTTTGGGTTTTAACCAACGATCATTCTGGTCAAATTTTGAAGGTTAATTAAAGCTGTAAATTGTCACCAACAATCGTTTACTGCTATTGAGGTTTAATTCATTTCTTTGAACCCTTCAAGTTGATCTCTTGTCTCAGATGGTTCCGACCTTTCAATTTACATACCAATTAGGCTGATGAAGCAAACCTAAAACTGTTGAGTAAAATGAAAAGTCAGCTTTTGTCTCAAATTTAACCTTTCAAAAGACAATTGAGACTTGATTTGGAATCATTTTGAACCCAATTTAACCCAAAGTATCCATTAAACATTTTCATTTGGTTAACATTAATGAGAGTCTCAACGTTTTTCAATGCAATCCTTTTCCTTCCATTATTACAGAAACCAGATTAACATATCTAATTGTTTCATCCTTACAAAGTATAATGAGTTGATTTACATTCATGAAACAAAATTTTATATCGATTCAATTGTTATTTGCAATTCTGTGATTGTATCATTTAACCTTTTAATTTGGACAATTAAATTTACAGATTAATTGCCGAGAAAATTTAGCGATACAATCATTAAAATTTAAACTGTTAGTTATTCAAAACATGTTATAACATTTATACAGGAGTAAACTGTTGACTCTATTGAAAAGGTAACATTTAATTTCAAGTGCAGACTCTTTTATCATTTTATTATTCAAATGTTGATCATGTTCGTCTCTTTATCCTTTTCTTGTCTTCAATATGAATAAGAAAAGAAGAAAGAAATTCCAACAATAGAACCAAAAATTCAGTATTAAAACTTAATCCAAATTGAGTTTCTAATAATTGATTGACAAAAGCGAAACATTACAATTCCGAATTAAAAAGTTTAAAATAAATATCGCTTTTCTCGTGAGACTTTAGTTGTATCTCACTGCCATTTTACATTTAAATCACAGTTCTGAACAAATGATCTGATGAAGTTTTGTTCAGCTCATTGTACTTAATCGAAAAGCTTAAACAATGAAATCATTTGGTGAAACAATTGGTCATTAGGAAACAGAATCTAATGAATAAATCTAAATGCAAATTCAAAACTAAATTTTTCCAAAAATCTTTGACTCATCAGGATTAATGTTCAGCAACTGGATCAAATTTCAATGAAAATGAACTTCCAAAGTCAAAGCTTTTCAGACAACTTTAGTGTTAAAATTATCAACTTATTTTGCATAATTATTGAGACAAAATTGATGGAGAAAACACAAAAAAATCTTAGGAAAAAAGATGAATTTTGGTTTAAAGTTGCTTCGAAAGTCGATTGTGATTAAGATTGTTTAAGCTCTAGTTGAATGTCATCGAGTTATTCATCGAGTTACTTTGCATTATTAATAATTAGACATTAAACATTGATCAATATTGATGAGGAAAAGATGAGAAAGTTTTGTTTGTTGAAAGCAATTACAATTTACTGTCGATAGCCTTTCATCTTTTCATGTCAATGGGTTAGTGGATCAAGTAAAAGTTGAGGACAATTGAAACTGATGTCTTGGATGATCTAATAAACCAATCAGTTCTAGTTTCATTTAATTGAATAAATCAATAAACAAGAAGCTGTTCAACAATTGAACAACGAAACAAACAACAGATTAACCGGTGCATCAATTTCAAGTCCAAGATTAAAAGAAAATCTTTAAGTTAAAGAGATTTCTAGTTTATCTTTTCAATAAAATATTTATCATCTCAGTGAACAACTGGATGAACCTTGTAATTTCAAGTGAAAACTCAGTGACTTATAGGAATAAAAGGAAGCGGAAGTTGTTTTATAGGCCATGAAGCTATCAGAATTTCAACATTTATCTTTCCAGAACTGATAAGGGAAACCACAAAACAGCCAAATCTATCACCAAGAGTATCAACTTGGTGAATTAATCAGATTCAAGCATGAAAAATGAGGTAAATGTAAGAGGAAAACATTAATCCCAATTGAGAAAGAAAAAGAAGAAAAGTTCTGAGAAATTCACATTTTTAAGCTTTCCTTTAGACCAACACAATGAAAGGTTGAACAACTCTGGTTCCGATTAGAGTCATGAATGAATGTCAGTTTGAAAAGAAATTCAACTTTATTTCTGTTCCTTTTCAGCAGAAATTCATTTTCTCGGCCAACTTTACCAACATTATCATGAACTTTTTGAGGAGAAAGAAAAGTTGAATAAAGTTTTCTTTATCTTCATCAAGTTATCTCAACATGCAATTGATAAGGAAACTGTTAACTGGGAGTTAAATGGTAAAAGCAATGACAATATTCATACCTTGAACGATGATTGAAACAATGGTTATCCAGAATAGAATCATGTTGCTGATTGGAAAACTTGTCAATCGATTGTTTGTCATCATTATCATCATTTTTGTTATCAGTTTTTGTTTTGCGTTTTCAGGTTGAAAAGTTGAGGTGAGAAGCAAAAAATGAAATAATAAAAAGCAAACCAAGAGATGAATTAGACTAAAGTTATTCAATTTCCTTGTTTTGCTTTGTTTTTGTGGATAAAATTGAAAAATGAAACAATATTTGAAATGAAAACAGTCGACTTGATGGTTGGACACTTAAGCAATTGTTGACAGAAGATGCGATTCTGTTGGATTTATCTTTTCGTATTTCACTTTTGTTATCGAGTTGAACGACAACTCTTTCGCCTAACTGTTTGCAACTGTTCACAGTTTTATCTCGACTATTCAATAATACTTTTCTCACTTTCCTACTCATCATCATCTTTATCGTCTTCAATTCAACTCCCATGAATAGTTGTGTCCATCTTCAAACTGCGCATTCATCAACATGATTCCCTTTCATCTTCATGCTTCTTCCTCTTCAGTCAAATATAAAAACTTTTTGAACTATATTTTGCTTCAACTCTCTTCCCTGTACTCTTCAACCCTAATAACAGACTCCAAATGGTATAAACGTGATGAATATTCTGTCTGACTTAAGTATATAATTCTGAATCTTTATTTAGCTTTTCTTTCAACATTTTCTTTCTTTATTTAAAATGCTTTTTCTCTCAATTATTTTCTTCTTCTTTTTTGTACCTAATTGTTGGTTCGGAGTAAAATTCTGACTCGGAAGTCAAAAATTTCTTCAAATTCTCCTTTTAATCAGCTTCATCATTTGAGCTTCGTTATTTTCAGTTTTATTCTTCTTTTTAGATAAATTTTTCTTGAATTTCAGTCTCTGAATAATTTTCAAATTTGCTTCATTATTTTGACCATTTACTCTCTGGCCATTCGCTTTTAGTTCTCACCTATTTTCCAATCTTTTGATCTCTACACTTTGACAAACTTTGTTGTTCAACTGATGTTCCTGTGTACGTTGATAAACACTATTGATACAGATATTGTGTATAAATTAGAAATATTTATCCTCTTGACAGTTTTTTAACTTACCTGATGTGCCAAAACTTTATTTAACCAATCATTTGAAACTTCATGTTAATTTTTCTCCCAAAGCACACTTTTATTGTAACTATTATTATAAAATATTTATTTTAAACTCAAGAGATGACAAAATTGAACTTACTATTATCAGAATTACTATAGATTTCATTCATCTGACGACAAAAAGTTTATATTTTTGGAGTAAATTATATAAATACGTATTATGAAGAGGAGCATTAAAATACTCAAATCACAAAAAGGTGACAAAAGTAGATACTAACGTAAGATCACTTGATCTATGAATGTTTGTCAAAAACAGTTTTCAAGAATAGTAATGCTAAGAGTTAAATCTAACAACAAGTCGACATGAACTTTTAGTTGAGTTTCTAATGTTTACCGATCCCTCGTCAGTAACTTAACATTAACTTTCACATTAACCATGAGACTACTTTTGACTCGAGCTGGACTTGGTAGCAAACTTGTTTTCAGACTATGATCACAATTCTTAAACTTGATGTGGATAACGAGATATACTGCAATATATTTACTCCTTCTTTACCTGAAGAAACAATTCTCGCCGTGGTTAACAATCAACTCGAGTGAAGAAAAAAGTTGAAATTTGAATGCTTATTTCTAGATGGGAAATGAAAATTATTGAAAATGTAAACTCTTTCAACCTTGAAACATTCAATTTCCATAAAATTTTCACCTCATTTTGTTTGAAAGCTTGCTTTTCATTTCTATCATAATAAACTCTGGTTCAAGTTTTCATTTTTCATCAAACTTTGTTTTCATTGAACAAGAAAAGACTCGACTGTGAACCCTCTAATATCGTTATCGAGCACATAGACAACAATAAAATTGCTGTACGTGATTATGAATTTTTTTTCAGCTCAACAAAGTTAACCTGAAAAGATGAACAACAAACGACAAGGAAAACGTTTAAACGTTTTCCTCTTTTCCTCTTCTCTCTTCAGTTAATAGAGTTTCATTTTTGTTCATAATCATCATCATCACCATCAAAATGATCATTTATAACAACAAAGTTAATGACCAAAAACTAGAGTTTCTTTGGTTATCATCTTGTTTAAAGAAACACGTCTGATTATATTAATAATAAATTGTCAAAGTATACACCATTTTACACCTCTTTTAGTACCAAAGGTAAAGTCACGTAAAATTTGCGTCTCAATTAAAATTTTTCAAGGGTGAGACTAAACATGATAAACTATGTTAATCAATTCAACTCGGCTTCTGATTTTGAACCAATAAGGTTGTAACCCAAACTTGATCAAGTGAAAGGTTAACTAAAAAATGAAACAAAAATTGTTGACCAAATTTTTATTCACCAATGAGGTGAAATGAAAAAAATGGGAAAAGAAATGATAAACTGAAACAAAATCGAAATGAAAAGCCATTGAAATGTAACTCAGATAACGTTTCCAATAAGTTTCATGACAATTTAAAGTCTGGTTAAAGATGAATTTCATTGAATCAGAAAAATTTGATCAACGAAACTCGTGAGCTGCACTTTTTCATGACCTTTTGCCCACATTTCAGTAAATGATGATCTCATATTACCACTTGTTATTGCAACTGTTGACCAAATTATTAAAATATAAATGAAAAAACTGTCCAACAGATCAAGTTCAATGTTTTTTGATACTTTCCACTCTCAATGGTTTACAAGTTTCATTGAGAAAGATTCATTTTTTAATCGAAATCGAAATCGAAAATCAAAGTAAATTGTCGAGTTTATTTTCATTGCTTAATTGTATCATTAATTTCAATCTTTTTCTTGCCTTTATCTTTTCCTTGAGCAGGTCAAGATAATCTGTCTGTTTAATATTTAACAACATTCAAGTTGGCGACCACATCAAGTCAACCTTTACTATCAATTTCAACCTCTTCAGGGAGTGATACATTATTATATGGATAAAGTAAAGAAAGTTCAGTTTTTTCATCCTCTTCTTCTCTCAGAACTTTTCTTCCCTTTTCCGTTTTCTTTGCTTTATCAATATCATTTTTGTTTACTTTTCATAATTGACTGTGTTGAAACAAAAATCTCATCTAGACGAGTCAGGAGAAGAAGGAGAAGAAGGAGAAGAAGGAAGAAAAGTTCATCTTTTGAATGCTAGAAATATTACTTATCCTTTTAACTGTTATTTATTATCATATTTGATGATATTTATTTAGATATTATATTAGATGTTGATTCCATATTTGTGAAAACCTTTGATAACCTACTTTTCCCTTGAGCTGAAAAGTGTAAGGTGAAGATAGAAAATGAAATGTTCTTGATTGATGCTCATCTATTGTCATTTATCTTGTTATCACCATGATACGGTCAAATGTGTATCCATCTATTTATCTGTGTATATTAATGGGTTTGCAAAGTGCAAGGTTTAATTTATCAATGATTAAATCAGTTGTAATAATATCATGTCGAATGTCAGGGAAAATGTTTCAGAATCCAAAAAGTGTTTATTGATATTATCATATTGAACATTATATTAAGGTTGTTTCGTTGACAGCACAGTGTGATAACAATTAATGCCAGCTTTTCACTTTCATTCCCAGTCATTCAAAGTTTGTCCAACTTTAACAATTTCATTTTTTTCACAGCTTTTGATAACTGTGCTGGCAAACAAAAAATAAAGATGAAAAAGATTCTGAGGAATGACCAGATAGATAATACAAAAATCTGGAAATCACAAGATGTTACTCCAGGTTGGTATCGTCCGATGCCCTGGAAAATACGGAAATACTTATTTTATGGGAAATGTTAAAGGTTAAAATTGTAAATTGAAAAGTCAATAAATCTTGCAATCTTTTACAATTATTGTCTATTGATCGTTATCTCATTTGAGTTGGACTTGGTGGACTACTTATTACACCATGTCATAACGATGCCTTGAGCAAGTTCAGGGTGAAACATGAGTGTTGACGAAAGGCTGTTCATTAAAGTGTTTTATTAAATGATTATTGCACATAAATTGATCCGAAAAGTCAATACAATACGTCGATGAGGTAAAAAAATTAACCTTTGAAACATGCTAGTAATAAGAGAGGTTCAATAAATAAAAAAAAGGAGACAGAAAATAAGATTGTATGAGAAGAAAAATTAATATCAAAAGGAACAGAAATGAGGTAAAAAAGCAATGTAATAATACTTGAAACATGATCAGATAATGATCAATCTAATGTGTACACTAATAAATCAACAATAAACAATGATTGGAACCGCAAAAGACAAAAGGACAGGAAAAAGCCAGAAACCATTTCTAAAAGTTGAGATTTAAACTGCAAACTTGAAATCAAACTGAGAAATTATCATTATTCGAGTTGGCATCGACTGTGTTAGCCTCGTCTATTTTGGACTGGCTATTTGACCCTTTATCTTAAGTGAGATGAATGCCAGGAATCGGCCATCGAGACAACGGATATTGGTATCGCATCAATGTTTCAGAAAGATACTGAATTTAAAGCCTCAGATTCGAACCATGAGCTTTCGCAGATTAGAGGACCACAAGTTTGAACTCTCAAGGTCATTTAATATCACTCAGTTATTTGACCTCTAAATGAAATTTGAAGGTCGTTTTCTGAGATTGAAAACTTTTTCAGATTGTTTGATGTTTGTTACAAATTAAAACTTAGAAGATAAATGAATTTTTCTCCAAACAATCGATTAACTGAACGGTAAGGAAACACTCTTATCCTTGGTGAGCACGAGTTATGAGCATGTAACAAGCAATCTAAAAAAGTTTTCAATCTCAGAAAACACCTTTAAATGTCATTTAGAGGTCAAATAACTGAGTGACATTGAATGACCTTGAGAGTTCAAACTTGTAGTTCATCAATCTGCGAAAGCTCATGGTTCGAATCTGAGGTTTGTAGCAGTAACCGTAAAACTGTAAAACAATGACAAACACCGAAAAAAACGCCCGGTATTTTTCTTTTGCTGTTCTGACCCATCACCGTTTTGTCCTTTGGCTATTTTTTGGACTGTTTTGAGGTGCAATCTTATATTCAGCGTTTTAAAGATGTTCAAACAGTCCAAGGTATCATAAATGCTTGTTTAATCTCAGCTTGAACCATATGATCGTAAATGAGTTTCTGTAGAAACAAAAAAGTGTTGATCAAACGAAAAAGTCTATCTTCGAAATCTTATCAATACGATTAGACATTGTCTGACATGACTAATTGTGAGTTTAACATGAACAAGAGAAACCAAGAAATTGAGAAATGATTTCAATATAAACACAAAACTTGATTCACCCAACAGCAATCAAGGTTATGAACAACTTTTAGTTTTCTCATTCAATTCCTTATTTGATGATTTTCTAGGAAAAAAATCTGATTGATTACCAAAAGGCGAAACACTTTTTTTTATTCATGTAACTCTTGAAACGCACCTTTCATGAGTTACTTTTTTTTGTCTTTTGTCTTTTCATTCCATGTGAAACAAAAAGTCCTTTTCCATGGTTCTCATGTTTTCTCATTGAAACTTAATTGATTGTCTGATTATCACCAGACTTTTCATGAAACAAGGTCTTTCAAATGCTGTTGAACAACTTTCTATGTTACTCAAAAAAAATTTTGGGCAACAATTTTTTCCTCTTTTCTTTATGCTTTTTGGTTTCACTCAACATCATTTTATACTTTTCATCGCAACTCATCGCAACACTGTGGGTGTTGGTTAAGCTTACTTCATTGATTCAACATTGAAATTGTGTTTAATTGTGTTGTGATTAACTTCACCTTCTTGTTGTGCTGCATTTAAACTCGTCATTTGTGTTTGTTATCATTTGTGGTTCTTTTAGTTTCTTTCATCGGTTGGTAAGCCTTGGAAAGACTCATTCAACCACAACCCAATTATCAACAATAATTCAAGAATCTTTACTCTCTTTTCAGAGATAGAGACGGAAATAATCAGAGAAGAAGAGAGAGAGAGAGAGAAAGATATTCCTCCTTTTTTACAGTTAAGATGTAAGAAGAAGAAGAGGAAAACCATGGTAATCAAGATTAATCAGTTTTGATTGCATTGGATTGCAAAGTGAGTCTCACAATGCAGCTCAACAAGTTGTCTTGGTGATTATGTGATTAAATTCATTCTCATCAACTTTCATTTTATTAACACACAATTGGTGCTACTTTTTTTTCCTAATATTTATCATCAAGATAGATCAACTAGAGTCTGAAAGATCATCGTAAACTTTGTGTCCAGCAATGATAATCAACTGTATGGACAAAACAATGCCGAGAACGTGAACCAAATGTTTTCAAAGCAACGAGTTTCTTTTCATTTTTTTCTGTTTTCCTTTTCTTCATTTCCATTGTTTTTCAAATTTTCCCTTATTTTACCTTCTCTGTGACATTGCCTCGGATTCCAATGGATATTTTTATTTTCACCAGATTTGATTGTTAATTGCTTATCAATCAAGTTTGATGTAAGTTAATCTTTTCATGCAACTTTAAGATCGCTTGGTGTAACCTGTTGACTCTTGATAGATTGTTTTGCCAAAATTGATTCACTTGATAAACCGTTCAATTGTGATCATCAATTAATCAATCAGTTGAATTACAAGTAAAGTTACCAAAAGACTAGAAATGAGGAAACCTTTGATATTCATTTTGGGTAATGTTAATGTCCCCACGATTGAATAGAGTTTAATGAGTTTCCGTTTAATTGTTGCAATAAAATTCAATGGAAATAATAGAATCGTTGAAAAATATAAAATAGATGATTCTATTCAATTGAATGCTGCTAATAATAAAATGATTTGATACACGCAAAAGCACTTGAACAAGCTAATGATGATAACTTAAAGCAAATACGTAAGTCTTTTGATTAGTCGAGATTGTTGAGTTTAATGTTTTTGAGGAAATCTTTTTGGCCTTTTTTGTCCATTTGTCAAATGTTTCAATTCTGACTATGAAAATGAAGTTGTAAATGATTTGTAAATTTGTTGAAACCATTTCCATTGGATTCTTGATTAATCAAAATGCAAACACGTTTTCAGTGTTGATTTATTAATTGGTTTGATTATTTATTAATGAAGGTTGAAAGCAATGTTGAACCACAATGTTGACTTGTTACTTAATCTAAATCATTGATCTAAATTGTAATGAATCTGAAGATGATAATGATGATTACTCTTGGTTAACGGTAAACAAGATGATAGGTTAAAGGTAAACATGATTTATTTAAATGAGATTTACCTGTTAATTGAGACTCAAATAATCAATTTAAATCTGTTTACTTGCAATTCTCATTGACTTTACCGTTTCTTTGTTAATGATTTCATCAAAACCTTTTTAACTAACTTTCATTGAATCAATTTAATTTAAACATTTCATTCTTTGGCTTTCATTTACAGTTAAATTACATTGTAATCAAGTGGCAATCAAGTGGTAATCAAGGATTGTTGGTGTAAATTGAAAAGAATTGCAATTTTCGTTTTAAAAGTGATTAACCCAAAAGTGCCTTTTGTGTTTAACAAGTTGACTTTTTGTTTTGTTTTCCCATTTTTTTGGGTTTCATCTTTACCAGTGTTATGAGCCTTTCTGGTTCACAGTTTTCCAGTGGATTAACCAGAATGACCAGGAAAAAAAAGTCACCTTCTCCTTATGATCGGATAAATATTGATGATGATGATGAGATGATTATTGAAGGTTATTTATGGTCTTTAACAAGATCATTTGTCTTCTGGTTTTCGGGTTTACTTTCAGCTGGATTTGTTTTCATGTTGACAACCTGGAAGCCAAGTTACCTGATCAAGTTTACCCATAAACGATGTACTCTTGATCAAGCGGATCGAGTTATCTTAAGGGTAATCAACATTTTTTCCAATCAAAGAGTCAAACTAAATCAACATTCATCCATTCAATCAATTATCATTATTAATGTCAATACATTTTCATTTTTATTTCATTACAAGTACCTTTCTTCATTACTGTTTATCATTCAAACTAAGCAAATAATGAGATTGAATGAAAGTTAGATTACATTTCACTTTTTGTATCATTCATCTTCAGTATCATTGTAAATTATATTCACTAATATAGTCTTCATTTCATGGCTTTTACTGTCCACAGGATTCATATGGTGAAGAGTACGTTGAAAAGGTTATCAAGCCTGACTATACGAGAAAAGAACGAGCTCAGTTTTCACATTTTTTTCACAAAAAACTGAAATACCTTTGGAGACCCGAGTTGAGCCAATTTAGCAAATTAACTGGACTTGAGAAGGAAAAGTGCGGCTCAATATATTCAATGAGCGATGGTTTAACCAATTCAGATGCTAAAATACGCCAATCATTGTATGGAATCAATTCAATAATAGTTCAAGTTGATTCAATAACAAAGCTAATCTTGAGTCAAGTAAGTTTAACCATTTAATGTGTAAAACAATTTCATCAGCTAAAGAAGAAATGTTTTCAACTTGAAATTTGATGAGCAAAATGTTGTTCAATGTTGTATCATGTGTTAAATGTTTCAAAATGAATCAGTCAGGAATAAAACAAAGTATCAAGAAAACAAATCCATTGCACTCTTTGGATGATGAATCCAGTGAATGACCTGTCAATGATTGCAAATGAAATTAGATAAAAGGTCAAAACTATGGAAATAAATTTGGTACCAAAAGGTCAATGAAACAAAGAGTCGCAAAGGAAGAGTAAATTATCAGACGCATTACAATATTGGACATTAAATTATAAATAAATGCCATATTAATAGAGTTACTATTATTATAAAAAGACGATTCAATCAGATTAAAACTGAACCAGTTTATCACTTAATAGTGATTAGTTAATTGAATAAAGTAGACTTAAGATGACCTTTTTCAAGATTACGTTTTTCATAAATGCTTGTAACACTTGAGACTCCAGTCAATGCACAACCAAAGAGCTGTTTAGGTTAGGCTATTGTACTTGAGTTAACTTGCCACTTTAATGTAACAATCAAAGATCATTTTGAAGTAGCAAGTAATTTGAATTGATTGCAAGAATCAATTTATTAACCCGAAACTATGTGTTAATTGTTGTAGATTCAGTGATCCGTTTGCTTTGATTAGTTGAGATTTATTTCAAGTAAATACTCAATGCTCTTTCACCTGTTTCGCTTGACCATTGTGAACCACAATTAGATTAATCAGAAAGAATCTTTACTTAAATCTTTACCAATTTACCTGATATAGAAAGCAATTAAGGTAAAAGTAATCATAATCATCTATTGAGTCGACTTTTGTGGTTCAATAAAAATGGTTGATTGAAACAATTAATGTAATGTTATCCAAATTGAGTTGTGATTAAAGTTGAATGATATTATCTTTCAAAGAGGCTAATATTGAATGTTCAATATTGATTGCGATAAACGTGATCAATTAATGATTACAATTGAAGTAAAAAATTTAATATTGGATAACAGGAACAGAGAGATCAGATACACCAAAGGTAAACAAAGGTTACCCGAATAATTAGGTTGAATTGAATTTTATTGATATACTTGAATTAACATGAAAAGCAATATAAGAGGAACTGTAAGAGGAAATGTGTAGGTATAGCTAAACTGATTGGAAGGATTCAACAATCATGGATTTTGGGTTCACTATGACTGACTGTTGTTTGTTGTTACCTTACCTTATTTATGTCTAGACAAAAGTAATCATAATCATCTATTGAGTCGACTTTTGTGGTTCAATAAAAATGGTTGATTGAAACAATTAATGTAATGTTATCCAAATTGAGTTGTGATTAAAGTTGAATGATATTATCTTTCAAAGAGGCTAATATTGAATGTTCAATATTGATTGCGATAAACGTGATCAATTAATGATTACAATTGAAGTAAAAAATTTAATATTGGATAACAAATTCAACATTAATTGCAATTTGATGAAATGGTTTAAAAATATTCACTTTTGAATATTCAATTTTTAAGAGCAACTTGAAACTTGTTGATCATCTTAATATTATCAGCTTGTCAAAACTCCCAGTTAATATTGATTACAATGATTACTCTTTTCCTTTGACAGATAAGCAATCCATTTTATATATACCAGATATTCATAATACTTGTTTGGATGGTTCAACTTTACTATCAGTTTGCTGGATGCGTTTTATTATTTTCAATCATCTCGATCACACTTCATGTTCATGAAACTCGCAAGGTATTTTGATTTACACTTTTAATCATTGTTAATTGATCAATTGGCTATTTGATTTGAAAACAAAAAGATGACAAACCAAAGTGAAAGTAAGAATGAAGAGATTTCTGGTTTGAACATTTTATTCATTGAAGTCCATCTCTTTGATTGAACCACATTATGTAAAGATATGAGTTTAGATTAATCAAAAGTCTGATGAAATTACGATTTAAAGTTTCATTTATAATGAAAGTTTGGACAAAATGACTTTTATTATGTCGACTATTTATTGCTGAAACTTGTTTTGTTTGCCTGTTCATATATCAACACCAACTCGTTGCACCAGTTTATCAAACATGTAATGAGATTCATTTGTCTTAATTTAAATCTTATTCTGAGATAAGGCAAATGGTTATACTATTGTTATCATTATCATCATTATCAACGTTATCCTCATCATGAAATGGTCCAACCATTCCAAGTATAATGTTATAATATATTGTACAGGGAAAGCAGCTAAAGGCTAAACAGGAGGAGAGATGAAAATAAGAGGAAAAATAAATGCATTAAATAAATGTTATAATATTCAGTATAAACAGAATGGAAAAGTTAAGAATAAAAAAAGGACAATTTGGAATGGCGAATGATATAACCTTTATTATTGCGATTCTTGCTTCTTATCATTACTGTATCATGATTATGTATCATCCTTGTGAGTAGGCAAAAAATGGCTTTTTACTTTCATTTTGTTTTCACTCTGATTATCTCAATTGTTATATCTTATTAACTGTCAGTTTTCGTTGATTCCTTCATCAGACTTTCATACCAAAATAGATTTGTTTCAATTTTTCTTTCTTTCTTTCTTCTTCATCTAATTCACTGTTCATTTCAAATGATGTAAATTATTGGCTTTCATTGACGGTAAATGGTTGATATTGAAAATTGTTTGTCAATCCAATGGACATAATATAATGTTCAATTGAACCAATTGTTTTCCCAATATTTGCTATCATTCATTTTCATGTTCACACACTTGTTTCATGTAAATGTAAATATCACCCTTTCATGTTGCTGGGAATGTTTAATGGAAACAAAGTGAAATGTTAATCAAGTGTTGATTTGTTATCTGATTAGAAGAGACAAATGGATCATTTAATATCAATCAAGTTACGAATTAATAGAGAGCAAATGGCTTGAATATTACATGTAAATTGAATTTTGGACATTCAACAATTTTTCAAGGCATTTCTTTTCTTCCAACTTACATCTTCAGTTCTAACAAGGCAACCTAACGAACTGATAATTGGTTTCGAATGATTCTCTTACAATTGAGGTAAAAATGCAGAATATGACATTCAAAGCTTCCATCTTCGAGTATTGAGTTTGGAACGTCGACAAACGTCTCTACAGTCTTTTCAGTGACTCCATCTAATAACTGCTCTTGAGCTAGAAAAAGTTCATGTTTCTGTTTCAACATAAATATCAATAGAAAAGAAATTTTTCAAGAAAACAGGCGATGAAATGCTGAGAAGGTTGAAGCTAATTCCATGTCCATTCCAAGAAAGCTCAATGTACTGATAGCGAATGAAATCTCGATATCGATTAGTCGACTCGTGAGGTTACCTTGTAACTCTTGAGTCTAGAGTCTTGAATTTCAAACTTGATTTGCACCTGACTTGGGTTGTATAATAATGTATTGGATTGTTTAAAGCATCAGTTTATAATGGCAAGTGCAAGCAATTGTAAATTGAGAAAGTAAACTGGATTTAACGTTGAAATTTGTTTGATGTTTGAATCTAAATCTTTATAATAAAAGATTTTGCTTATCAAAAGGTTCAATTGATGGATTCAATAGATGTTCAATATTTTATGAGAAACTGTTTGTTGGAGTGAAATGATTAATCTAAAGATTTGATCGGGAAATTTGAAACTCATTTTTTGACTTTAATTTGAAAATCACAAATTGTCAGAACCTTTGGTTGGTAAATATTAACTTTCATATTGATTATGTATTTGGCAATGTAAGATTCTGATCATTTCTGGTTTCTATCAAATCTATCAATCTATTAATCAAGATTAATGTTTCAATTTTTAATAATTCATTTGGAATGAACAATTTATTCTCGGAAAAACTCGCCCAGTAAAGGTTTAACAATAATTTGCTTTGGAAAACAAACGATTAATGAATGAATGATGAACTGATAAAAGGAACATTCTTTTTTTTGTTCAAGTTAATTGATTTAACCCATTCATTGGTATTAAACGTGATCCATTAAACATAATGAATGGTAAAATAATCAAATCGAAATCGGAAACTCAAAAACAACAGCAAATAAACAAATGATAACAATAACAAGTTGAGATACAAATAACATGTAATCAAATTAAGGTGATTATTACTTTTGAAAAGCCAAATGATGCCAATAATAAAGGCAACAATCAAAAATGCTCTTTTTTTATTCAATATTAAAATTAAATTAACCCTTTTTACTCTGCTATTTGTCTTTTTGCTGAGGTTGTTTAATGTTAACATCATTATTATGATTGTTGCAAATTGGTTTGGTAAAAAGGTTAAATTAAACTAAATGTAGTTAAACTGTAGTTAATTTATTTGATTAAAGCTATTAAATAGTTTGCTAAAGCTTTTGGTTTTCATTTTTTTTCCTCCTGACTCTGCCTTTATTTGACATAAAACAGGTAAAACAATTTAATAACAATAACCATTTCAAATGGTTAATCCTGTTTTATTTAACTATCAGCTTGCCATTATTGAGTCTTAACCATATTTTTGTGGTAACAATCAAATTTTGCGGTCCAATCAAACTACTCATCAACTATCAAATTGTTTTCCGTTGGTCTTTATTTTTGCCATTCACTTGCTGTGTATCTGTAAATGGATGGATTTTTGTTGTCAGCTCATTATCACAGCAATATTCAGTTTCACATGAAATCCGTTAATTTGTTAGGCTTTGAGTTGTTTGTCTTGTGAAGATGAAATAGAGTTGATTAAACGGTAAGTTAATTGTAGCTTGTTTGAATAACTAATGGTTGAATCGCAGTATATTATTAATAATCTAATCAATGTGTCAGAATGGTAAAGCAAAGAAAGGTAACTTAATAGTGGATAACTGAATTAAATTAACAAAAGTTAATTGAACAGGTCACATTGAAAATGGTGAAAGTTAATCATGGAAAGTTGAATTAATCCTTCTTGAAATTTCACGTTATTTACGGTCAATTGGTGTATCATTTGGTTCAATTTGGATTGATTCTTGTCTGATGTTTTCCTGAAATCAAATAGCCAATTTGAATTGCATAAACACTTGAAATTCAGCAATTTATCAACTAATCTCGACAATTGGTAATTGTTAATTTTGATTTTTCTTTTCTTTCTCCTCTTTTTCTTGGAAATTTCATTTCATCCTCTATCTTTTGTCCTGCATTTCTCTTTAAACCAAGCAAAGCATTGCACTTCGTCAAAAAGTTCATTCAGAATCTGAAGTGGTGGTTCTCCGTGAGGGCATCATGACTTCTAAATCATCCACTGAACTGGTTCCTGGTGATATAATTATCCTTGCACCCAACTGTTCGTTTGTCATCGAGTGTGACGCAGTCCTTATATCTGGCTCTTGTACGGTAGATGAAAGCATGTTAACCGGTGAAAGCGAGCCTATCAGTAAAGTTGCTCTAACTGATGATCCAAATGTACTTTATTCACCCAATACTCATAAGAAGAATACCTTGTTTTGTGGAACGGAAATTATTCATGTTCAATCATCTGATAAGATCCATGTTAAAGCATTGGTAGTCAGAACTGGTAAGTGATCAGTAAAATATATAGAAAGCCTCTGTATAGTTGGAGCTCCAATCATTGATAAATAATGGATGACTGTAAAGAGAGAGAGAAAATGTAAAAAAAGAAAATAAGATTATGAAAACAAAGTTAACTCGATTACTTTTAAATTAGTCTTCTTATTGAGATGTAAAATTTTCGTTCGACAATTTTTGATAGCAAGAAAATTGTAAAATAATCATTCACCTGAACATTTGCCAGTTTATATCATCATCATCTTTATCATTATATTCACATTAATATTCAACTAATCCTTGGAGAGATTCAATCTTGATGATGATCAAAGTATACAGCCCCATGTAAGCACAGGACATGTCAAGACAGCAATCCATTTTATGTTAACATCATTTTTTCTTCGTGTCCTGGATCAACAATGCAAATGGATTGTCACCAATTTCATCTCGCATTATTAGGTTAATCAAGCAAAGTAACAGTTGATTAATATTGTGTGTGTGTGATTACAATTGACTATAGCAAGTAAACTTCAGAAAGTTACTTTAATAAGTCACTTATAAGAAAAGTGTAATTTGGTTAGACTTTTTTTGTTGATCGTTAATATTGACAATAGACTTTAAAAGCCTGAAGCACTAAATGTGGTCATGATTGTTGAATAAGATGAATATTATGAAATTGAAAATGAAGAGGCCTAAAGGTGTAAACACAAAAGGACAAAATCTCATTGAGATTTGTGAAAACTGTAAATAGTCAAAGAGAGCACAAAACACATGGGGAAAAAAGCCAAAGTAAAAAGCATTTTATAATAGTATTTATCTGCAAATAACCACAGCTTTTATTGTAAATAAAGCTGACTATATTGATTTAAACACAGCTAGGCAGTAAATTAGATTGGAGTAACATTTAACATTTAAAACAATTAAATACTGATTAATAAAAAAGACATTAAAGTGGAAATAAAAAAAGGGTTTGTAATGGGCGATCAGTGAAGATTTGTAATTATGTAATGAACCCTCAATCTTTTGCGGGAAAAATGAGACATGTTTACTTTTAATAATTGGCCATTTTAATTTTATTTTAATGGTCTTGCTATTTTAATCTGGACTCTTATTGTATTCAAGTTTATTGATTATTTTTGTCCTTTCTCATTGATTTAGGTTATTCAACGACCAAAGGTGAACTGGTTAGAAATATATTGTACCCAAAGCCGGTTAACTTTCAATTAAAACAAGATCTAATCAAATGTATGATACTCTTTTTCATCCTGGGAATACCTTCCATGGCTTACACTGCTTATATTTTTGTCTCTTATGGAGTAAGTATTACTATTTTACTTTTGTATTTCATTAATATCATTCAATTCATGTTCATTATTATTCTGATTAGTGTTAATGTAGTTGTCACGTTGTTGAATACAATCAACCAAGTTTGTTTCGATTATTTATACTTTCTCCATTTCTATCTTGTTTCTTGCCAGTTACAATTTTAATTCACGGGTTAGGCTTATCATGCATTCATCATGTTTACCAAAAACATTTAGTTCACTTTTAAAGCATGAGTTAACTCATTCCATTTTCAAATCAACACCAGAAATCTTTACACTTTCTCGCTTCTTTTTTAACTTTTTGTTACATGAAAGGCTGACTGTCAGCTATTGTGCGATATAAGTGTCAGTAATTGTGTTCCAGTAAACTTGCATTAGTTTTTAGTTACAGATTTATCCAGAGATGATTTTTGTAAATTGTTTTTACAAAGCGCTACTATTGTGTTTATATTTCATTGTTATCATTCCAACTTTGAACTGTTTTTTTGTTTTATTCTGGAATACAGTCTGACTCTGTCTACTTGAGTATGGTTAAGGTTTACAATCAACTCTCAAGCCTATTATTAATAATGTAACACTTCAATGAGTTTACGTAAGAATGAAAGTAAGCATCGTTTGAATTGATTTTTATGATAAAAAACAAAATATTGATAAAATTTTCCATATTTCTCATTCAAACATTTTACAATTTGAAAATGATTAACATTATTCCTCTTTTTGGTTAAGGTGTCAAGATTTAGCATTAACATAATTTTATTTGCAATTTTTTGCCAATCATCTTCAATATAACGATAAAAATAAATTAGCATTTACATTTTTATTGTTATCATTATTACATTACGCGGAAATAATCTATGAAGGAAAATAAAATAATAACAGATGAGATTAAATTGTAAAACACATTTAAATTAGTACGGCTCTGTTGATTGTGGTAAACAAGCAAACGAAATTAGCTTCATTCTTTGTCATATTTTTTGTCTCATGTTGATCATTATCATTTTAACCATTTGTTTCATATTTACTCCTGATTTATCGTTATTAGGCATCTCTTTATGACACAATAATTATTGTGGTTGATATTGCAACTTTTTTGGTTCCGCCACTTTTGCCTGCTGTGATGACTTCAATAAATGGCTATGCTCAAAAGCGTCTACGTAAAGCTGACATTTTTTGTCTCGATACCAATTTTATAAATGCTGGAGGAAGCATTGATATGGTTTGCTTTGATAAAACTGGGACACTTACTGAAGACAGCATTGACATTGCCGGTGTTGTTCCCTCTTCTAATGGACTCTTTGGTCGTCCAGAGAGAAAAATGACGACTCTTGATCGTTATAGCACTTTGGTTGCTATTCTGGCTAATTGTCATTCCTTGATTGAACGCAGTAGACGACTTGATGGAGATAGACAAGAGATTCGTATGTTTGAGTCAGTTGAAGCAGAATTTCGTGATGATACCTTTGTTAATGAGAATGGTGCCTTTGAAAGGTTACCTGATCGTCTGATTGGCTTTAAAAGAGGGCCTGATGATTTGATTTACGGTCTTATACGGTTGTTTCCCTTTGATTCGACCCTTCAACGAATGGCTGTAGTTGTTAAACGAGCTCATACAAATTCATATTCAGTTTTAATGAAAGGCGCTCCTGAAGTGATTCGCACTTTTTGTATTGATGCTACAATACCTAATGACTTTGATTCCATGTTAGCAATGTACACTCGAGATGGGATGAGAGTTATGGCGGCAGCTTCACGGTCAATTGATGGTGATTCAATCGATCTAGCTGGTTTAATGAAAATACCTCGTGAAGATCTTGAGCATTCAATGATTTTTGAGGGTCTCATTGTCTTTCAAAATCAACTCAAGCCCGAAACTGAATCAACCTTGTATGCTCTGAAAGAGGTTGGCATACGCTCCATCATGGCTACAGGTGATAATATATTAACTGCTCTCTCAGTTGCCCGTGACTGTGGTATGATTGATGAAGCTGATTCGGTTGTACAAGTTGAAGCAAACCTAACCGATAATGGAAGCCTGGAGACGCTTTATCGATACGTCAAACTGCCTGGAATTTCAGAGAAACTCAACATTGACGATTCAACAATGAAGTACAGTGAAGAAATTATTACACCCATTTTAAAGAAACGTTGTTGGCACATTTCAATAGAAGGAAAATCATTTGAACTGATTCGCAACTATGATCGTTCACTTTTGTCTAAAATTGTGCATCGTGGGACAATTTTCGCTCGCATGTTACCTGATCACAAGTTACATCTTATTGATGAAATTCAGCGACAAGGGCATCAGGTTGCCATGTGTGGAGATGGAGCCAATGATTGTGGTGCCTTGCGTCTAGCTAATTGTGGAATATCTCTGTCAATGGCGGAAAGTTCAGTAGCTTCACCATTCACATATACCAAGAAAAATATTGAATGTGTTCCCATATTGATAAGAGAGGGAAGAGCAACTTTAGCTGCCACTATGGGTGCCTTCAAGTATCAAGCTTCATATTGTTTTGTCCTTCTTTCCTCAGTGTTGATCCTTTTCTGGGAAGGAGCTAAACTCTCTGATGGTGGATTTGTATTCATTGATATTATATTGAACATGTTTCCACCTCTTGTTTTTGGCACCACCAAAGCTTATCCCAGATTAACTCGACATCGACCTTTACTCTCATTGTTTGATTTCAACCCACTATTCTCAATATTTTCATTTGTTTTCATTCAAGTCATTATTTATTTAATTGCAAGAGAATATCTTCTAATTCAAGAATGGTGAGTATTCATTTCAATCTGATGAATAATTAACAGTAAAACCTTTTCTTATCTTCAAATTGCATTCAATATTAAAAGAAACAAACAGAAACAAAACTCTGTACAACGTAAGCTTTTTGCTCTTCTTTAGTTAATAACTTTGTTTTTCCAATCTTAAAACTCAACAATCTATTAACTTAATCACTAAAACAATGATTAATAATAATAGTTAACATTAGCTAACCAGGGATACGATTCAACAATTCAAATAATATGTAAATAATCCAATTACAAAGTATGTTTGATTGAGTTTAATTAAACACACTACTTAAAAAATATGGATTGTTGGATGCAAACAAAAAAAAGATTGTTTGAACAGCATTAATTTATTCAACAGATTGTTGTTTTAATGGAAAACAATTGATAACAATTATAACTAATCATTTAAATTGTCTCATTTAAAGCTAACTAAAAAAGCAAATTTGATCAAAGTTAAAGGTTACCATTTTTAAACATGATTGAACATCATTTGATGATCAAATTGAGAACTCAAAGCATTAATAGTTCCTTGATAGCCCTTGAGTTGTATTACAAGAAAAGATAGGGAAAAATGTTTATTATTCATTAATTATTTCTTTTTATTAATTAAACTCTTTAAATTATTCAGGTTCGAACCATTTGTATTCAATGCCACTCAAATTCATAGGCCTGAACCTTCACATATGACTCTAACCATTTTATCAGTCAATACAATGTCATATGTGATAGCAGCAATAATATTTGCCTCTGGTCCACCTTTTAGGATGAGTTTTTTGTCAAATAGTAAGTATTGTTAACCCTTTTATTTTTTACCTAATCTTTCATCAAAATTATTAATTAATCAATTGTTCAATTGCACTTGTTTCTTTGATTCCACAGAAATTTATACATTTGTTGTTTTTTTAAACCTTTTACTGGTAATCATCGTAACTGTTTACCCAACTCCTGGTTTTCTGTTGGATTATGTTAATGTAAGTCTCATTTTTACCAACAAGTAATATTATCAATTACAATTAACTATTATTAATCAAATTATTGTAATTATATTCAAACTTGTTGATGGTTTAACTGAAAAGCGATTTCCACTTTTCCACCATTTCCACATAACTCGGGAGTAACCATTGAAAAGCAATGCTAAAACATCTTTTCACTTTAAATGCAATTTACACTTGAATCTGTGTTTAATGAGGTGGAATAAAATTGTAATTACTTTTGCACAATTTGCGTAACAATGATGACAATAATCAAACTATTATATGCAAAAAAAAGGATTGTAAGCATTTGTTGAATGCTTGCTCAGCGCTTGTTGCATTTTCTCAAGAGTAGCAAGAAAAAGCAAACAAAAATTGTGTTGTAAACAATGAACAAAATGAATACGTTGTTGTAATTCATTCATTTAATTGTTTTTTCTAACTCAGTTAGTTACAAATTTACAGTTAGTTAACTGTTTATCGATCATCATTTATCTCCCTTTGTAATTTAACATTCCTATTGAGACAGCTAACATCAATAAATTAACACAGATAGTGTAGACTAGTGTAAATGTTTTCATACACTTGATGCTTGTTTATTCATTTATTTGTATTTTTGTTTCTTTCATTGAAAACAGTTTAAAGATGTTCCGGATTTTGAATTCAAATTGACATTATTTTCACTGGGACTGGCAAATCTTGGCATCTCGTACCTTTGGGAAGTCGTTTTCCTTCAAAGTGGCCAATCTCAACAATTTTGTACCAAATTTACCTCATGGAGAAACAAGAAACCTTTGTATGAACAAATTGAGACTGAATTACAATTACAAGACGACTGGCCTCCAGTAATCAAGGGTAACATGGGTAAACGAGATACTAGTCAATCATTATCTTCAACTGACAATTGGATTCATCATTGTAACACTTTACCTGTTGATCATCGAATCAGTTTGGATTCCAAAAGGACTTTAGTAACATTTACTAACCAAGAATATAATGTGGAGGCTAAAATGTTTGACTAATTATTGTGATATAATATTTTTGATAATTTACTTGAACAAATTTATTACTGTTGAAATTGTTTTCTCTCTGGATAACATTTATTCATCGTTATCATCATCATGATCCTCATCACTACCATTGCCAACATCATTATTATTACGATGACCACTACCATCAATATCATCATTACCATTAACAGTAACATCATGCAAATAAAGTCATTCAACTGTGATGTGAAGATGCAAAGCTGCCATTCCATTGAAAGATTGAAATTGGAGAAATGCTCAACAAGATGTTGATCAATATCTTTATACAACCTCTTGATTCCCTTTCAACTTAAACACCATTTAATGATCAATCTATTTTATAACTGTTTTGGATCAACATTTTAAATTGTAATTAAGAATATAAATTATAATCTAATTACTTTCGATTGGAAAATGATGATTAAACAGCAACTTGAAGTGCTTCGTCGTGCATCCTCTTGCCATTCAAAAAATGTCTCAATGAATAATCAAGCCATGCTGTTGATGCAATTTTTTGTGTAAATTATGGAATCTTTCAATCTTTTTTCATTACAATCATTGAATGATTAAGAAAAATGAAAATTACGTTAACTATTCATCTAAAAATGGCAACAAAAATGAATTAGAGTCGCTTTGATTAAATATAAATCAGCAAAGAAATTACAAGAACTTATAAGGAGTTAAAGTTGGAAGGCAAAATGAGACTCTAAACTGGTTTCAATTGATTAGACGGTAAAATTGAAAGCTGATCAGTTTTCAATGGAAAGACAAGTCAGTTCAGTTCAATTGGATGAATTGTGTGAATAAGATTCACATGAGAATAATATTGGAATGGAAAGAAAAGTGAAGACAAAAATAAACTGCAATGGCTTAAGTTGATGTATTAGGAGACAAAGGAGTATTAAAATGAGGAGGAAAAGGGACGTAAATTAATCATGAATCATATGAATAAGCAAAAGAACTGAACATCTTTGTGACTCTTCATCTAATCATGTTCATGATTACCATTCATTGAAATAAACAGAGCAAAGCTTTTCTCCAACAAATGTTGAACTAAGGTTACTGAACTTGATGTCAACTAACAACTTATTTTCATCTTTACGCGATCATCTTCTGATTAGGACAATCATTATAATCATCATGATAATGATTGAATTCAATTTACTTGAATTGTATAAAGTGATCATAAACGCTGATCACAAAAGGATAAACAATCAATTTGATTGTAGATCAATTATCATTCAATCAAATGTTGAACCATTATCTGTTGCGCTTCATTTAATACAATTATCTTAATTGATTCTGATACAAAATGACATCATGATTCGTGAATCATAATTCATAATTATTTAGTCATTGAAGATAGTCACAGATGTAAATTGGTTAATAAGAAACTAAACTCCTCAAATTCATCATTTTGTTCATATTAAGATAGCGTTTTCAGTGAAATGATCAATTTTGATCAAAGGAAAACCTTTGAGCAAACTTGAAATAAAAATATTATATCAACAGATTTCAATCAATTAAAACTTGAATTATTTTCATGGAAAGGATTTATCGCGATTTTGGGAGAAAAATAATTTCTTTTGCTTTTTTCCATCGATAATTTTCCTTATTTTTCACCACAAATCCACCACATTCATGTAAATTGGCGTAAATAGCTATATCAGTTCAATTCATGATTATAACTAGACTTATTTTGTTTGTTTTCTCTTCATTTTTCCAATTAATTTGTAAAAAAAAAACATT